GACGTTTGCTTTTCTCACCACTGCGTTTTACGTATACCGACTTTTCAAATTAACAATTGCAATAATTTAGAAGTTGGATAAAAGCCCCCTACTCCACCAGGGCACATTGAACCCCTCTACCTCCTTTGCCATTCCCTCTCCTCCTAGTCTCCTTCCCTTTTTCTTTTCCTTTATTCTGCAGAACGCTCCACCACTGCCACTTATAGGGCAGGTACCTCACTCTCTCCACTATTTATTATGGACTCCTTGGAAGCAGATTAACTGTTCCTACCAAATGTCAGGTTTCATGTTTACGGCCCGGACAAGATGATCTGTGTATGGGTGATTTCCTTGTGGCTGACACTGAATCCCTGCTTACTGGGGTCTGGATACCCTAACACCAAATGCTACTATGGAATTAATTTTGTCATGCTCTTTCTTTTAACAAGTTGCATTATGCCTATGTGTGGTCTTTTGATAGCCCTTAAGGTAGTCAGCTGTCTCTTTAACTTCCCACGTTGGAGGAACCTGAATATTGTACTATAGATAGTTAAATCTTGTTTATAGATATACAGTATGACTCTTGGCTTGTGCAACATGCAAATGTAAGCCCTGTAGGATTGTTTTGTATTTTTGTGTAAATTTTCTATTTTTTCAATAAAAATATTATAAAAAAATTGGACAAAAGGTTCCCAGTATATATATATATATATATATATATATATATATATATATATACTGCTCAAAACAGTTAAAGGAACACTTTGAAAACACATCAGATCTCAATGGGGAAAAGTATCATGTTGGATATCTATACTGATACGGACTGGGTAATGTGCTAGGAATGTAAGGATGCCCAATTGTTTGATTGAAATGAAAATGATCAACCTACAGAGGACTGAATTCAAAACACCCCAAAAATCAAAATGAAAAAATGATGCAGCAGGCTAGTCCATTTTGCTGAAATATCATTGCAGCAACTCAAAATGGTACTCAGCAGTTTGTATGGCCCCCATGTGCTTGTATGCATGCCTGACAACCTCCCAGATCTGGACCAGGGCATAACTGAGCTCATAGACATTCTTAGATTCAACCTGGCGGCGGCGGATGGACTGAAACATGATATCCCAGAGGTTTTCTATTGGATTTAGGTCAGGCGAGTGTGGGGGCCATTCAATGGTATCAACTCCTTCATCCTCCAGAAACTGCCTGCATACTCTTGCCACATGAGGCCGTGCATTGTCATGCACTAGGAGGAACCCACTGCACCAGCGTAGTGTCTGACAATGGGTCCAAGGATTTCATCCCGATACCTAATGGCAGTTAGGGTGCCATTGTCTAGCCTGTAGATGTCTGTGCATCTCTCCATGCATATGCCTCCGCAGACCTTCACTGACCCACCACCAAAATGGTCATGCTGAATGATGTTACAGGCAGCATAACGTTCTCCATGGCTTCTCCAGACCCTTTCACGTCTGTCACATATGCTCAGGGTGAACCTGATCTCATCTGTGAAAAGCACATGGCACCAATAGCGGACCTGCCAATTCTGGTGTTCAATGGCAAATGTCAATCAAGCTCTATGGTTCTGGGCAGTGAGCACAGGGCCCACTAGAGGACATCGGGCCCTCAGGGCACCCTCATGAAGTCTGTTTCTGATTGTTTGGCCTGCTGGAGGTCATATTGTAGGGCTCTTCCAGTGCTCATCCTGTTCCTCCTTGCACAAAGGAGCAGATACCAGTCTTACCTTCTACAGCCCTGTCCAGCACTAGAGTAACTGACTCTCTCCTGGAATCTCCTCCATGCTCTTGAGACTGTGCTGGGAGACACAGCAAACCTTCTGGCAATGGCACGTATTGATGTGCCATCCTGGAGGAGCTGGACTGCCTGTGCAAACTCTGTAGGCTCTAGGTATCGCTTCATGCTACCAGTAGTGACACTGACCCTAGACAAATCTAGTGAAAAACAGTCAGAAAAGATGAGTAGGAAAAAAATGTCAGTGGCCTCCACCTGTAAAACCATTCCTGTTTTGGGGTTGTCTCATTGTTGCCAACTAGTGCAACTGTTGTGAATTTCATTAACACCAAAGCAGCTGAAACTGATTAACAACCCTCTCTGCTACTTAACTGGCCAAATCAATATCCCAGGAATTTAACCACTTGCCTACTGGGCACTTATACTTCCTTTGTCCCCAGATCAATTTTCAGCTTTCAGCGCTGTTGCAGTTTGAATGACAATTGCATGGTCATGCAACACTGTACCCATATGACATTTTTATCATTTTTTCTCACACAAACAGAGCTTTCTTTTGGTGGTATTTAATCGCCACTATGTTTTTATTTTTTGCACTATAAACAGAAAAAGAGCAAAACATTTTTCAAAAATAAAATTTTCATTTGTTTCCATTATAAAATTTTGCAAACAATTAATTTTTCTCCTTCACTAATGTGCGTTGATGAGGCTTCACTGATAGGCACCACTGATGGGCACTGATGAGGTGGCATAGATAGGCAACACAAACGGGCGGCACTGATTGGCGGCACTGCCGCACAGCACTGCTGGGTGGCACTGATCAGGGCACTGATGATCAGTGCCGTTCTGCTAGGTGACAGCTGTCAGTTATCGGCAGTACTTTCCTCATGCTGTGACAGCGTGAGGAAAGTGCTGCCGATTACCGGCAACTGTATTTACTCTGTGATCTGCTGTGTCATCACAGCTGATTACATGATAAAAGGCCGCTGTGATTGGCCTTTTACCTCATCACGTGATCAGCTGTGTCCATAGGACACAGCGATCATGGAGAGCGCCGGGTGCGCGCTGCTGGGGGCGCTTTCTGGGAGGACATCATATGACACCCTCCGAGAACTGGAGAACCATGCTGTAGCCGTCATTCGGCTATAGTGCAGTTACCAAGTGGTTAATTGACTTGATGCTATACTCTGATTAAAAAGCGTTCCTTTAATTTTTTGAGCAATGTAGTTTCTCTCAACACACTAAACTGCTACATTTGAGGGAAAGCTTGTGCTTTTGAAAAACAGACTTACTGTGGAAGATCACCTGGATCGGAAAGAAAGCCTTAAAAAGAAAACTAAGGCAGCCCTAACATCTAAGAATTGTTAAGCTACAATATAATAAAAAGTTTACTTTGGATTTAATACTGCTTTAATGCAGCTAAAGATTTCCAGTGTCCAACAAAGCAACATTGACAGCTGCTCAGATCAGTTTGTAACTAGCACTTGTTTTTGTGACATGACTTTAACTTGAATAATGTACAAGTAAATTGCTCTTGCGAGAATATTTATATTGTGTTTGGAGAATACCTCTGTACTGTGTGAATAACTAGATTACTGATTTATTCATCTTTTTTTAGCATCACTTAGAAAAAAAAACTTTACACTTCAAACTTACATTACCTCCTCCACTGGCATTCCTGTGTTTAGGACAATGTTATAGAAACCATTTCCTACACATTTTACAGGTCCACCTGTACAAAATATTACTGTACGTGACTGCATAGTATTTCCTGTCTTCTTGTACCACAGTCAGAACAAAACAAAATGAAGAGTAGAAAGTTGCATACAAACCCATCAAGTTTATTGATGAAATCTACACATTAATAAAAAATACAATTATTTTTGCAACGGCTAAGCCTATTAATATCCTTTTCTAGTTTTTCTATCAGCTGAAAATGCAAACAAAATAATACAGAGGCACAAGAGAGCAAACTTCATCATTATAGAGGAACTGCTCAATGGAAATTTAGAGAGAGAATGTTATGAAGAACTATGTACATATGAAGAAGCAAGGGAAGTATACGAAAACAATGAGAACACAGTAAGTTCACTTGGATTTTTTTAAATATACATAACAAGGAACATTTAAAACGAATCCACTGTCACATTTTGTAAACAGTGCCTGAATTATGGAGTTAATATTTTAGCAAGATGTCTACAATACGGAAATTACATTCATCATTGTCAGAACATTATTAACCTCATGGAGAGCATACGTGAATGTAGCTCCTGTTGCTGTCCTCCCTTTGTACCACCTAAAGAGGAACTTTATTCTCTCAATCAACATTAACTGTTTTTCAAACCCTATGTTGGTAGCATTAGTAAATAGATAGGAAGGTATAATTTATGTACTTGTTTTATACATTTTTTTTTAAGTTTCTTCAGCTCCTTCCAGGTTTCTGACCTAGACCAAAATGATGTCATACATCCCAGAAATCTTCATGGGCATCTTTTTTCTTTCATCTGGAGGAGGGGAGCAGGAGCTTTCTCAACTAAGCACACTCTCCTGCCTACATGTCTGAGCTAAGGGCAGATTGATTCCAGGAAGTAAATACTAAATGAATCATTTGCCCTTACTCAAGATGGCCACTGCCAGAATAACTAGGGGGTGGTTTTCAAAATGATTTCTCAGCAAAATAAAGCATGCAGACATGGGCAGATGTGTTAGTTTACATTAAACGTCAAAAATTGTAGTAGTGGTTTCAGTTTGTGGTGCTCAGATTTTCCTTTTACATATGAAAAATGTCATCCACACTTATTTGAACGAATTTGGGGTGCATCATTTTTCTCTCCGCATGCACTCACTAAGCAGTGGATAATGTTACAAATGTAAACGTCTCATTTTTATATGCTGGACAAACATATCTGTAGTTTGTACTGTGTACTTTGTATGATATACAAATTAATACTACACAATGATAGAGCTATAATGTGTTTATTATTTAGCATTGGAATATTTCAATACTCAATATAAATCATCTAAAGACAAAATTAGAGTATAATGGCTGTATCCTTAGTGGTTATATGCACTTTGAGTTAGATATATACAATATAAATATATACACTGTATAAATAAAGGATATTGAATATATTAATGCATGGTGTCATGTCCAGTGTGCTGCACATACACTATATTGCCAAAAGTATTGGACCTGCCCTTCAAATCATTGGATTTAGGTATTTTAATCACCCCCATGGCCACAGATGTATAAAATCAAGCACCTAGGTATGCAGACTGCTTCTACAAACATTTGTGAAAGAATGGGTCACTCTCAGGAGCTCAGTGAATTCAAGCATGGTACCATGATAGGTTGTCACCTGTGCAATAAGTCCATCCATGAAATTTCCTTGCTACTAAATATTCCACAGTCAAATGTTAGTGGTATTATAACAAAGTGGAAGCAACTGGGAACAACAGTCACAACATCAGCCACAAAGTGGTAGGCCACATAAAATTAAAGAGCAGGGTCCGCGCATGCTGAAGTTGCCAACTCTGCAGAGTCAATAGCTAAAGACCTCCAAACTTCGGGTGGCCTTCAGATTAGCAGAATGCCAGTGTGTATAGAGCTTCATGAAATGGGTTTCCATGGCAGAGCAGCTGCACACAAACCTTACATCATGAAGTGCAATGCAAAGTGTTGGATGCAGTGGGGTAAGGCATGCCGCCACTGGACTCTAGAGCAGTGGAGATGTGTTCTCTGGAGTAATGAATCACGCTTCTCTGTCTGGCAATTCAATGGACATATATGGGTTTGGCGGTTGCCAGGAGAATGGTATTTGTCTGACTGCATTGTGCCAAGTGTAAAGTTTGGCAGAGGGGGCATTATGGTGTGGGGTTGCTTTTCAGGGGTTGGGCTAGGCCCCTTAGTTCCAGTGAAGGGAACTCTTAAGGTGTCAGCATACCGAGACATTTTGGACAATTCCATGCTCCCAACTTTGTGGGAGCAGTTTGAGGATGGCGCCTTCCTGTTCCAACATGACTGCACACCAGTGACAAAGCAAGGTCCATAAATACATGGATGAGTGAGTTTGGGGTGGAGGAATTTGATTGGCCTGCACAGAGTCCTCACCTCAACCTGATACAACACGTTTGGGATACACTAGAGCGGTGACTGCGAGCCAGGCCTTCTCGTCCAACATCAGTGCCTGACCTCATAAATGCGCTTCTGGAAGAATGGTCAAACATTCCCATAGACAAACATCTAAACCTTGGGGACAGCCTTCCCAGAACAGTTGAACCTGTTATAGCTGCAAAGGATGGGCTACCTCAATATTGAACCCTACAGACTAAGACTGGGATGCCATTAAAGTTCACGTGTGTGTAAAGGCAGGTGTCCCAATACTTTTGGCAATATAGTGTATGAGCATTGGAAAGTTACATAGCATTAGATCTGTTTTTAACTGTCCTTGTCATGGACATTCTATATATTGACCATTAGGTCAGTCCTGAATTTATCAGCACCAGAAAGCTTTATATCCAGTGTTGTTTGCCTGCTGTGATAACTGTGATAATATACAGTATATAATTTCTGGAAGCTGAGCTGTTGTTATCAAATCATTTATAGCTGATTCTCCACAGATTGTGTTTCACTGAAGACACTGCAGAATGCTAATATTTATATTTTTTAATATATCTTTAATAGGATGAGTTTTGGAAAGGATATTATGGTAAGTACTATCATTGTTTTGCATTTTTATAGCAGGAAAGTGCACATGGAAGTCAATTTCTGGGCACAGATTGTTCCTACAATATACTATAAATGTCTCTAAAATAAAGTGATAGTTCTTCCCAAACAGGCCACACTAATGTTTGGACTATTCTCCAAAATTAAGGAATAATGTACCCTGTGTAATACAATTGTGCATGTACATGGTCCCTTAGTATCCTAATGGCTTTGGAAGTTAAAACAAATGCAAAAACACCTGATTTATGGACTTCCATAGATTAAAAGTTACCAATTACCAAAGTAACGAAGTGAAAAAATAAAAATCTGTGGCGCTTTACCCTTTTAGAAGAACCATTTTACTTATACCAACATTAAAGCCAGGAACCAAGGTACATTAAAAGAATACCTGACATACTGTATGTATGCCTGCTGAAAAAGCACTACATTCTCAATGTGTGATGTAGTTAAATACACAAGCACTTGCCAGAACCCTGACACACTTACATCCTCATCTCTGGGACTTGATATATTGTCATTAATCCTTGGACAATGCGCAGAAAGTTCAAAGCTGTACCTCCATCTGACCCTGGTTAGGGAAAAGCCACCTTCCACTGTGACAGATGCTCCAGGGCATGTAGCACATTTACATTCTATGATTGGAAGCAATCAAACTGTGTGTGGGTAAAAAATTACCTCTGTCACATTGTGCACAACTTAGTATACAGTTAATAACTAAAAATTAAACAAAGCACCTCAAACCAAATCCAAACAAAATTACCATGTGTCAAAAATGTGAAATATAGTCGGGTTGGTAACATAGTAAAATTCCAACTCTCACCAGCTCAGAAGGGGTCTATTGAATGTGCAAAGTAAGTGAACAAGAAACAAACAACAATGCTCTTCATATCCCACTTGGTGTTGGTGTTGTTTAGCAACACCAAGTAATCTATAAAGATAATTGTTTTTTGTTACTGGTTATATGTTTTTATGTGTTGATGTATTCTTTACTGTAAATCCCAAATCTTAACTATTTACCAGAATAGCACTTCATCCTCCCTGAAAGATCTGGAGTCTCCGGTTCTAGGAAGATACACAAATCCAATAACACCTGAAGTCCAAACTTTCACAGACTAAAAATATTACCAATACAAATGTTCAAATACCAATTACCAAAATAAATATATTTATGTTGTCCACAATAAAAGTTTGTCTCTGTATTTACAGGTGGTAGACAGTGCTCTTCAAACCCATGTATGAACAATGGTGTATGCACAGACACTATTCGCAGTTACATCTGTACCTGTCCTGTAGGATATAAAGGAAAGGAGTGCAAGATGGGTAAGACAAATCAACCCATAAAAGAAAATATATATAACAATGAACTGCAGAATGTAATATACAGTGGGGATCGAACGTTTGGGCACCCCAGCTAAAAAATTGTATTAATGTGCATAAAGAAGCCAAGGAAAGATGGAAGAATCTCCAAAAGGCATCAAATTACAGTTTAGACATTCTTATAATATGTCAACAAAAGTTAGATTTTATTTCCATCATTTACACTTTCAAAATAACAGAAAACAAAAATATGGCGTCTGCAAATGTTTGGGCACCCTGCAGAATTTATAGCATGCACTGCCCCCTTTGCAAAGCTGAGACCTGCCAGTGTCATGGATTGTTCTCAATCATGGTCTGGGAAGACCAGGTGATGTCAATCTCAAAGGTTTTAAATGCCCAGACTCATCTGACCTTGCCCCAACAATCAGCACCATGGGTTCTTCTAAGCAGTTGTCTAGAAAACTGAAACTGAAAATAGTTGAGGCTCACAAAGCTGGAGAAGGCTATAAGAAGATAGCAAAGCGTTTTCAGATGTCAATATCCTCTGTTCGGAATGTAATTAAGAAATGGCAGTCATCAGGAACAGTGGAAGTTAAAGCAAGATCTGGAAGACCAAGAAAATTATCAGACAGAACAGCTCGCAGGATTGTGAGAAAAACAATTCAAAACCCTCGTTTGACTGCACGATCCCTCCAGAAAGATCTGGCAGACACTGGAGTTGTGGTACACTATTCCACTATAAAGAGATACTTGTACAAATATGGTCTTCATGGAAGAATCATCAGAAGAAAACCTCTTCTACGTCCTCACCACAAAAATCATCGTTTGAACTTTGCAAATGAACATATAGACAAGCCTGATGCATTTTGGAAACAAGTTTTGTGGACCGATGCGGTTAAAATTGAACTTTTTGGCCGGAATGAGCAAAGGTACGTTTGGAGAAGAAGGGGCACAGAATTTAATGAAAAGAACCTCTGTCCAACTGTTAAGCATGGGGTTGGATCAATCATGCTTTGGGGTTGTGTTGCAGCCAGTGGCACAGGGAACATCTCACGAGTAGAAGGAAAGATGGATTCAATAAAATTTCAGCAAATTTTGGATGGTAACTTGATGCCATCTGTGAAAAAGCTGAAGTTAAAGAGAGGATGGCTTCTACAAATGGATAATGATCCTAAACACACCTCGAAATCCACGGGGGATTACATCAAGAGGCGTAAACTGAAGGTTTTGCCATGGCCTTCACAATCTTCTGACCTCAACATAATTGAAAATCTATGGATAGACCTTAAAAGAGCAGTGCGTGACAGACAGCCCAGAAATCTCAAAGAACTGGAAAACTTTTGTAAGGAAGAATGGGCAAAGATACCTCAAACAAGAATTGAAAGACTCTTGGCTGGCTACAAAAAGCGTTTACAAGCTGTGATACTTGCCAAAGGGGGCAGTACAAGATATTAACTCTGCAGGGTGTTCAAACTTTTGCAGACGCCATTTTTTTGTTTTCTGTTATTTTTAAAGTGTAAATGATGGAAATAAAATCTAACTTTTGTTGACATATTATAAGAATGTCTAATCTGTAATTTGATGCCTTTTGGAGATTTTTCCATCTTTCCTTGGCTTCTTTATGCACATTAATACAAATGTTTAGCTGGGGTGCCCAAACTTTTGATCCCCACTGTATTTAGTTTATAAACATTTCTCACAACAAGCAGTAGTTGTAACTGAGCTCCTTATATAACATTTGCTTGCAGTTTTATTCTTAGCTGGTATAAGGAAAAGATGACATTTACCCTGGGCCCGTAGGGAAAGTGGCCTATGTGTTGGAATCACAGATTGTATATTCAGAAGATCAGTTGAAACCCTGTAGACTGGGTCACTGATCAAAAGAGCTGCTGATGCACAAATCTGAAAAAATGACAAATTTGAAGTAAAGAGCAAGCCTCCAGGTTGGGCACCCACCAGACAAGAGTGGGAGGAAAAAACTATATTCGAACCATGTAATCACATAATACATCAAATAACTGAGACACTGGAAAATGGGAGGATATTTCATGATCTGACAAGTGCATCTAAATTTTCGTAGTATCTGGCGCAGCCTGCAGTGCTTACACACGGACATACCAACAACACTCTAATATATATAGTTAGAATAGGGGTGAGCTGCACTGGAAAAGTAATTTATATCCAGTGGGTGCAATACATCAAATGGCATCCAAACACCATTATGAAGAAATAGTATCCAAGGAAAAGATGCTGCAAAACCCAATGGAAAGTCTAGACACTGGACTTATGTTTTGCTGCAATGCAAACAAATGACTGATAGATCATTTTCCCAAGGTTTGCTTTAAGAGTGTCATTATGGAGGATAAACTGAAAAAAGCAAGCATTCAAGGAGAAGGTAGCTTAAATCTATGTTGATTAAAGCTCCACTCCAGGATAAAAACCTTTTTATTTACCTGTAGGTTAAGCTCTAAGTTCTTGTTTGGGTCCTTCTTCAGGTATCAACATCATTACCTTCAAGGTAAAGAAAAGAGGACGATTCATTAGAGGGGGGTGGCAGGGGACTGGCAATCTATGTTTCCTCCCGACCAGAGTCAGCAGGGGTGAGGGACTTGGATGGGGTACTTAAATTAATATATCTGGCTTCACCATGTAAGGGTAAAAAAAAGAGAAAATAATAGTGTTGGTTAGAAGTGTGTGGGAGTTATGCTCACCAAAATAGTTTTTGCCAAGAATGGGCCTTAAAATTAGTTGATATGTCAAACTGAGATACATGCTGTAATAGAATGAGAGATTGAGTGTATAGTATATACATATTTTCTGGTTTCTTACTAGTATACTTTATTGCTGACTCCCTGTAGCGGTAAATGAATGCCATCCTGATGCAGAAGATGGATGCCAGCATTTCTGTGAACCTAGATATGGACTTGACTTTTACACCTGTTCCTGTGCAGCTGGCTACAAGCTTGGTGAAGATGAAAAGTCCTGTCAACCAACAGGCAAGTCACACCAAAGGCACATAGTACATAGTGATACTCATTCAAGGATGGCAGTTCTAAATATGAGAATTAAGGCATGGATGACAGCTTTATAGGGAATATTTTTAACAATTTGCAGAATTGCAATTTAGCCAATATATAGCTTAATTGTTTTATAGGTTTTAAAAGCAATTGTCAGGTTTCATTAACAGTGAAAACATGGAAAAAAAAACCTACAGGGGGAAAAAGAAGTAATTCTTACCTTCCCTACGCTTCCGTACTGTACTGGGTGACATCACCATCCTGCCAACAAGATCCTGGGGAATGTTGAGTACTTGCAAGAAGATGCTGCAACACACTGCAGGGCCATCTTCTCAGTCACATTTTGGCTACTTAACATTCTGTAGGAACTTATCAAAAGGATAATGACACCACCCTTGCCTAGGCACCTTAGGTTGAAGCTGTCTCTTCTCAGTGATATTTGGGCTACTCATGGGTGATGATGTCACTCCTTGCCTAGGCATCATAGGTGGAAGCTGGGGGAAGGGTCTTTATTTTTATCTAATTTTTCCCCCCCATAGATGTTTTTGTTTTCAAGTTTAATGTGGCATTTCAGAAAGGGGGTGCATGGTCAGTTAAAGTGTTACTAAACCCAAGATGCTACATTTACTATATTTGGTCTCCCACAGTACACAGAACATGGAAATGCATTTATTTTAGTAAATATAAACTGCTAAATACTTTTTCCCATCAGCAGTTAGAGCAGTCCTGTGACTTCTATCAGTGTCCACCAGAGCACTGGTTAAAGCTTGTAGGAGGAGTTTTCATTCTCCTCTACTGCCCAATGAGGGTGCATGACCTCTGACCCTCTGTCTGGATAACTCAGATTGTCCCTCTGCTGATCACATGCATGCTACCAAGAAAAAAAAAAAACTCTCTAGCAATACAAACCAAACTGAGCACGTGCAGCTTGCCCCAAGGCTCTGTTCTATCAGCAGATGGGTTAGGGACTGTGGAAAAAGGAGAGGATCACAGAAGATATGATCAAACATCCTTTTTACACAATACAGAGGATTAACCCCTTAGGTTCAATAGTGAGTATAACAAGCATGCTTTACTGCATATACAGACTGTATGGGGAGGGAGTTTCTCAGCTAAGCACACCCACCTGGCCTGAGTGAAGGAGCTAAGGACAGATGGATTCCAGGAAGTAAATGCTACATGAATAGTCTGCAGTTACTCAAGATGGCTGCAGCTAGAAATGTTGGAGGGTGTTTTACAAAGTGATTCTGTAACAAAACAAAAAGCATGGAGACATGGATGGATGGATGTGTTTTCTTTGAATAATTAACAATGAATTAAAGTGGAACTTCACTGTATCTGAGCACCGCAAACCAAAACTGCTATTTAATTCATTTTTAATATTGAAAGCAAACTCAACCATCCATCCATGTCTCCATAATTTGTTTTGCTGAAAAATCACCTAGAAAAACACCCCCTAGCCTTTTTGACCAGGGCCATCTTGGATAAGGGCAGAAGATTCATATAGCAATTACTTCCTGGAATCCATCTGTCCTTAGTTCAGGCATACAAGCAGGAGGATGTTCTTAGCTGAGAAAACCCCCCCTTCCTTCTTGGAGACTCCTGGGATATATGGCATCGTTTGACTAGGCATGGAAACTAGGAAGTGACTAAAGATATGTAAAATAAAAAAGTTTAAAACAAGTAACTATAAATATACCTTCCTATCTATTTACTAATGCTAGAAGCATAAGGATTCAAAATAGTCAGTGCTGATTGAGAGAGTGAAATTCCACTTTAAGTAGTGTTTTCAGTTTGTAGCAGGGGCGGACTGACCATTTGGAAACTCGGGCACTGCCCGAGGCCCGGGGGTCAGTAGGGGGCCCCATGAGATGCCCCTGGTACTTTTTCATAGGCTTTTTTGAGTTTGGGCAAGGACACAGGGGCCCCCATGATCCCCTATTGCCCGGGGGCCCCATGAGTTGTCAGTCCGCCCCTGGTTTGTAGCACTCAGATACAGTTTAGTTATACTGATATTAAACTCAAAAACAAAAATAATTAAAGTATATTAATCTTAACCTAAAAAAGGACCTTCTTCTGCTCTCCACCATCTCCACATTCTTTTTTTTTGGCTGTCATCGACTACAGTTGTTCTCCATGGTCTGAATGTAGGAATGTAGTCACAATGCTCTTCCTCGTTTCTCAGATGAATTAGGGACTATGAAATTTGTAGTGTGCATAGAGCAGTGCACATGACCACAACAAGTATACACTGTTTGTTTCAAACAGACGTGTGGGAAAAGGAGAGGTCTGGATGCTTACGGAGGATGTTAAAAGGAGGCAGAACACCACAGTAAGAAACAATTTAATGAAAGATAGATTACAGGTCCACTAAATAGTGGCTGTGTATAGATTACATATGGAGAATAAGGATATTGTTTAACGTCACTTCAATGCATCAATTGAAATAGATCTTGCATTCTTCTTTTAAACACAGAACCCTATGCATGTGGACAGTTACAAAAAGATGATGCTACAAAAGAACTAAGCTTGCAAGATAACCATAAGCCTATATTCCCCTGGCAGGTAATGACTGGATGGTGATGTGTCCAGCTAGGGAAATACTTCTCCCTGGGGTAAAAGATAAAATATGTACTGTAATGGTATAATCCATCAAATACATCTTTTTGTTTCAAGGTTCTTCTCCTAAATGCAGAAGAGACTCAACACTGTAGTGGCGTTATAATCAGTCAGTCTCTAGTGCTAACGACTGCAAAATGCACAGAACAGCATAGACCTCCATTTGTGATTGCCGGTAAGTTACTCCAAGTTTACCAAGGAAGGACTGATATATGCTTCTAGGAAAACTCTGCATAGATACCTCCCTTTTCCTGATTTTGTTTTTTAAATTGATATTTTTTTTTAACAAAATGTAGATTTGATTTATTCATGTAAAGGTTCTTTTCTATTTATGACAAAAAAATAACAGATGTTTAGGTATTTAACAGTACAATTTTGCAGGAGAATATGAAGGTGAAATCACAAATATAAAGGCATAGAACATATTTGGAGTGACTCTCTTGCTATGTCGCTAAAATAAACTCTCCAAAAAAGGTGCCCCTGAGAAGAAGTCATGGAGAACTTGCTTCTTTTGCTTCCCGAGCTGCTGATTTTTGCTGTAGTGAAGGGAAACCGCACTCTTAAGATCCTGGACATTTTGACACTTTGTGATTGTCCTGGTCCCTTGCTGCACTCAGTGGGGAAGCAGGAAAATTATTTAACTATTTCTATGCAGAGGAACCTTTGCAGTGGCCCGCTCTACTGACCTTCTGCAAAGTGATCTGCGGTGGATAGGGCAGTGACTGCCAGGCATTTAGGAGGCGATACTGCTGCCTCCGCAAGGCCCCTTTTTTGCAGGATTTTCTATTGAAATACCAGGCCGTGTTTAATATCAAAACGTTTGTATATTCTATGTACGCTATGTTTTGTACCTCAAATTTTTTCAATAAAAACTTATTGAAAGTGATGCGATGGTGCAAACTTACTTTCATATTTGGTGGTCTTGTGCAGTTGCCCAAACCTTCTGGACTGAAATTTTTCATATGCTATCCCTGCTATTTGCTAAACCACTACCACCAGATCCGACTGTAGCCCTCTTAAATCTTCACCCCCCCCCCCCCCTCTATTTCTAAAACCCAATTTAAACTTCTCCTACAAATTACCACAGCAGCCAAGCAAATCATGGCCAAAGCGTGGAAGTCCCCATCTTTGAGCATTCTTGCAGTTAAGCATAAAGTTACCCAAGCAATGATCCATGCCAAAGTGGAAGCAACCGTCATAGATTCGGTCCCCAAATTTCTGTCGATATGGACCCCATGGGTGGACCAGTTCCTTCTGCCGAACTTTGATGATACGCTGCTTCTCTCTTAAGGCTATCTAGTCCTTCTTGTGAAGATACTACCATTCCATTTAAATAATACCTTGGTTTGGTCCCGAGAATCTCCTTTCTCCCCCAGAAGTCACACACCTCCCCCCCTCCTTCTTTGTACCTTCCTCTGTTTCTTCTTATTCTCCTCTCCTCCCCACTTTCTCCAAACTTAATTCTTTCCCCTTGGTTTTACGCAGAACCCTCATGCAGTTCTAGGAAATATTGCTCTCCTCCCAGAGCTTGACCATGTCTCATCTTCCTTCGCTATACAAAACTTCCTTTGCTCCCAAGGGTACCTTGTTAAATGTTTATTGCACTGCACTCCCTTTCTGTGGTAGGGCAACCTACCCTCCCATATCTCCCCCTTTCCTCCTTTTTTTTTCTTTTTGTGTTTCTTATTGTTTTGTTCATGTACTTGTATTTGAGATGCCTTATATTTGTTCTTTTGGCACTGAAAATTAATAAAATGTTTGAACATGGAAAAACTTATTGAAAGTGAAATACCAGGCCGCAACTGCAAGCCACAATTAGGTTTGTGGTTACGGCATAACCCCATTCACTAAAATAGGTCATTTTTGGCAGGCAGTACAGTTGTATAGATTTTGCCACGCTGTGCCATACTGCACTGCAACTGCAGCAGTGTGTACTATTGTGGCCACCGGCCATGCCCACTTTCTGCTTGGCAGTAAACAGGAGGTAAATCCATGGCTTGACTTCCTATATTTCCAGCCTCCCCAGGGGCACCCGTGTGAATGAGCTGCTATTGTAGTAGTTTATTTTAGCAACAGAGTTAAGATCAGTTTGCCAGTTGAGATTCACAACTGAGAGAATTTATGTGGTATTCCGATTTAAATAAAAATAAAGAGGGCATTCACAGTGAGCGCAGACATACAATTTGTGTTTTGACCATATGTTCCTGATCATGCTGTGTTATTACTGGGTAACAGCACAGAGTCTGCTTTCCTGTCTATCCTAATAAATAAAAATCCAAGTGGTGTGCTTAATTGCTTACTCTTTAAAGTGGTATTAAAGCCACTTTGTTACTTTTTACCTACCTAATCTTACAATATAGCTCACCTGTAGGTAAAAAGAATATCTCCTAAACGTGCACTGTTTAGGAAATATTTGGGTTTTTCTTACAGCAGTGAATGTGCTCTGAAGGAACAGCATACCTGTGCCGTTCATTCAGAGCACTGTGCCGTGTCCCAAGACTCCCATGCGCATGTGTGGGAGTGACATCATTGCGGCTCAGCTACCCAGATGGCCAGAGCTCACGAACGCGGAAGGAAGACTAGGTGAGGATGGAAGCTTCAACAGCAATGACAGCGTGCCTCTGGAGGGCTTAGTTTTAAGGTATGTTTTGCATAATGTACTAGTATGCAATGCATACTAGCACATTATGCCTTTACCTTGCAGAGGATTTTTTTTTAAAAAAATGTGTTTAAGACACGGTTTACTACTGCTTTAAGGGATCATTCATACCAGTGGCAAGGACTGCCACTCCTCTACAAAAAAAAAAAAAAAAAAAGATTCTTGCTTGAGTTGCTTTTCAGAGGCATTTTACAGGCTCTGAGAAGGCAATCTATTGCCTCCTCTCCACCTTTTTTAACCCCCTAAAATGATGCACCACTGTATGGATGTGGTTCTGTGGTAGTTGCAGCATGAGCCTATTCACTTGAATGGGCCGTGTTCAATGAACGGTAGTGCCTGTTGAACATGACAGGTATCATTCCTGCCACTGCCGTAAAGCAAAACATTGTGGTCATGGAACATATACATCCCCAGCTGCTGTCTTCTCAGCTAAAGGGATAGTGGTAAAAACATAGCTTAACCACATGGTTTTAGTGCCCCCAACCACAAGTGAGAACAAGCCCCATGGATATATTCACATGTTCCAATTTGTCCTTTTTTACTGATATTTCACTTCCAACCTATATGCCATTTTGATAATTTACCTACTGCTGATTATTTATAATATTTCACAGGAAACGGTGATCCAGAAAATAAGCAAAAGATAAAAGTAGAGGGCTATCGTGTCCACTCTAAATATTCTAAGCATACTGGAGACAACAACATAGCCTTAGTGAAGCTGCAAGACAGTATCAAGTTCCACAAACATGCTTTACCCATTTGCATTCCTCAGAAGGACTTTGCTGAGAATGTGTTAATGCCACGTATATCGGGTACCGTGAGTGGGTGGAAGCTTCCCTCCAACAAAACTTTGGAAATACAGCCTTTTCAATTCTCTGCAACAGAAACTAACAAAGAACACTGTGAGTCGACTTTCAATGTAACACTATCAAATCGATTGTTCTGTGGGAAATCAAAGAGCAGTATGGATTCTGCTATAGTGGATGGGAGCCATTTTACCATTGAACACAAGGGTGCCTGGTTCTTGATAGGTATAATGGGCACAAATAATACAGAGGCCAGCAGCCCAAATGTATTTTTATTTACTAAAATCTCTAGATATATAATGTGGTTAGTACAGAACAGTGGATAATCACTTACTGTACATTCATTTTGTAAATTATTACAGAACGTACACTTTTCCAATTATTTTTTACACCTCATGCTCTTCGAATGTGTTTAAGGTATATTTTGCTTAACAAAGAATATCCTCACTTTTACAAAGCTCTGTATAACCTTAATACCAGGGATGGCAATTCTTAAGTAATGCATAACCAAATATTGTATATAAGACTCTTAAGTAATCATTTTGCATTAATAAGTCTATTTTTAAAAAAGGTTTTATACCTACAGTTTGGGCAGATGAAAAATACACCAGCTAATGCAACTCTGTAATCATTATTATGTCATTAAAGTTATTTTTTTAATGCAAGCCATGTAAGTACCTGAATTTGACTTGGTATTAGCTTCTTGCAGTCCCAGTACAGCAGCAACCAGATTAGGATTGGGAGAAGCAGCATGAGTAACCAATCAGTTGTGCTGCAGTGCCCATGTGTTTACAAAAGACATGCTACCACCTTCCATGGCTTTCTTGAGCTCTCCCATCCGACCGGGGAATCCGAGAATGCAGCCGGCAGTTCCGCCAGCTGACCATAGAGCTGATCGGAGATCAGAGTGGCTCCAATCATTGCTATGGTCTAAGAGACCAGAAGCTACAAACATTTCATCATTTCTGTTTTTGCTGGATATTAAAAGCGCCATTTTTAATTTGGGAAAGTGTCTGATCACACCAGTCTTGGTGTGATCAGATACTTTAAGAGCAGTTGAGAGATATAGAGTCTAATAGACCCTAGAATTCTCAGAAAAGAATGTCTGTCATTGCCTATTGCTATCACAGGACATATTTACATTCCCTGTGATAACAATAAAAGTGATAAAAAAAAAAGGGATAGTGTAAAAATAAAAATTGACCATTTGCATATTGGGCACTTTTACCCCCTTCCTGCCCAGGCCAATGTTCAGCTTACAGCGCTGTCACAGTTTGAATGACAATTGCGTGGTCATGCAACACTGCACCCAAACAAAAATTTTATCTTTTTTTTTATACACATAAGAGCTTTCTTTTAGTGGTACTTAATCACCACTGGGTTTTTTATTTTTTTGCTAAACAAACTAAAAAAAGACTGAAAAGTTTGAAAAAAAAAAGTTTTTCTTAGTTTTTGTTATAAAACTCTGTACATAAGTCATTTTTCTACTTCACTGATGTGCGCTAATAAGGCTGCACTAATGGGCACTGACAGGCGGCACTGGCAGGCATCACTGATGGGCACTGAAAGGCAGCACTCATATATGGCACTGATAGGAGTTACTGACTGGCACTGATAGTTGGCACTGAAAGGCAGCTCTGATGGGCACTGGTATGTGGCATTGATGGGCACTGACAGGTGGCACATCATATGACGTCCTCCCAAAATGAGAGAGCAGCCACCCACCCTTCATTTCCTTATATGGCATGCGGGAAGTGGTTAAAAAAAAAAAAAGACCCCACCCCGCCCCAGCCCCCTTCCCGTGCTCATGCGCAAAGGAGACCATAAGCTTTGGTCCTGTGTCAGTATGTAAACAGAGATTGCACCATGCATTTGAGGTATCACCATGAACGTCAGATCGAGGGCAGTAATTCTAACACTAGACTTCATGTGTAAATATAAAGTGGTGACCTGTAAAGGCTTTTAAAGCGTTGCCTATAGATATTAAAAATGTATGTAGTTTGTCGCCGTTGCACGGGCATGTGCAATTTTAAAGCATGTCACTTTGGTATCTATTCAGCGTAACATTATATTTTATATGTTATCAAGCAACTGGGCAATATATTGTGTTTTTGTGCAATAAGATTTAAAAAAAGTGTATTTTTTCCAAAAAATTAGCATTTGAAAAATCACCGCACGAATATTGTGTGGCATAAAAAATTGCAACACCCAGCATTATATTCTCTAGGGCCATTGCTTAGAAATTTATAAAAAATATTTGGGGGTTCAGAGTAATTTTCTAGCAAAAAATGTTTTTTCATGTAAACAAAAAGTGTCAGAAAAGGCTTGTTCTTCAAGTGGTTAGAATAATGGGTGATGGGATGTGTGGCAGAAGCTTCTAATGTTAGCCCCGAAATGCCAGGATAGTAGAAGCAAACTCCCCCACCCCCCTTTCCGAAAATCATCCCTTTTTTATTAAAGTACACACTCCAAGATATTTGCTAAGGAGCATGGTGAGTATTTTGCAGATCTCATTTGTTGCCACAAGTTTTTGGAAAATGAAGAAAGAAAACAAAAATGGATTTTGTCTTTTTTTTTTTCAAAACCGTGACAAAATTGGGATCTGTAAAATACTCACTATGCCTCTTACCAAATTCCTTGGATTGTCTACTTTCCAAAAAGGGGTCATTTTGGGGGTTGTTTGAACTATCCTGGCATTTTAGGGACTCCAAACTGATAGGTAGTGGAGAAGTGATATGAGAAAATATGCCCTTCGAAAGCCTGAAAGTGGTCATTGGATTTTGGGGCCTGTATGTCGATAGGCTGTCCAGAAGTCTCCCGCATGTGTTATCCCCATACTCAAGAGAAGTAGCAGAATGTGTTTTGGGGTGTTATTCCACTTATAGTCATGGAATTCGTGAGCAATATATCATTTAAGTCTCAACTTTGTGTAAAAGAAAAATGTGTCATTTTCAAAAATTTGTGGAAAAAAAATTAAAATCCGCCATGGACTCAACATACCTCTCAGCAAATTTCTTGGGGTTTCTACTTTCCAAAAAGAGGCCATTTGGGGGGGGTCTTTGTACTGCCCTGGCATTTTAGCTCCTCAAGAAATGTGATAGGCAGTCAGAAAGTAAAAGCTGTATAAATTCCAGTACATATACTATAGTTTGTAGACGCTATAACTTTCACACAAACCAATTAATATACACGTATTGGGATTTTTTTTTTTTTACCAAAGACATGTAGCAGAATACATTTTGGTCAAAATTCATGACTACCTTTGATTTTATTAGATCTTTATTGTAACCAATAGTAGAAAATATCCTTTTTTTCAAAATTTTCTATATTTTTTCATTCATATCACAAAGAATTAAAAACCCAGTGGTGATGAAATACCAACAAAAGAAAGCTCTATTTGTGTGAAAAAAGGACACAAAGTTAGTTTGGGTACAGCACTGCATGACTGCACAATTACCAGTTGTGAGTTGTGTGATGTAAGTATTTCATCCCTGTATTTAGCAGTTTGCCTGGATTTTAGTCTGCACACCCAGATGAAGACCCCCATTTAGGAGAAGATACAGACCTGCATTTTAGTTTTAAAATGAACCAGTCATGACAGAAGTATGGGGGCTGCAACTGACCTTTTTCTGAATTGTCAGTTAGCCTTATGGGCTGAGCCACTGGTTTTAGTCCCTCACTGAGTCACTGTTCCGAAACAAGCATGTAGTTTGGAAAAGTCAGAAGTTTTTATCTGCATGCTTTTTCCAGGCTATTAATTCAAAGTACTGAATCAAGAGTCAGCCTGACAGCCAGGCAATCATCAGTTTTAGAAGATGTCAGCAATGGATGACCGTGTGTTCTGTCATCTGACAGGTTTCCTTTAATGTAAATCATTTTTACTGAAAAATATTTTCTTATAGAATGGATATCAAACTGTTCTAAACACAAAAGCGTAACAAAACTGACGATATATACCGCATAATATAAAACTAACTAGTACAACAGCTACATTAATATTTTATGTACACAATACAGCTGTATGCCAATCTGTAAGCTGCAATTTGAAGCTGAAGTTAATTTTCTTTGCAGGTAAAAAAATATACATTTATTATTTTTTGTTAGGTATCTGTAGAGCATTTGTGGGGGCAATGTCATGGTCCTGCAGACCTTCTGTCTATCTGTCTGCCTCTACATCCAACATAGGCAGGCAGTTACACTCTGACAGGAAGAATCCACGTACTACCAGAGCGGTCATAAGCACCCTGGTAGTCCATTGAGAGCTACAGTGCCTTGAAGTATTCATACCCCTTGAAATTTTCCACATTTTGTCATGTTACAACCAAAACATAAATGTATTTTATTGAGATTTTATGTGATAGACCAACACAAAGTGACACATAATTGTGAAATGGAAGGAAAATGATAAATGGTTTTTCAATTTTTTTTAAATATCTGAAAAGTGTGGAGTGCTCTGCTTCTCCATGCAATGGTGCTCTACATAGCTTCCTGAAAACATTACAGTAACCTGCCTCAGTACTCAAAGCAGAACTAACATATCAATGCAGCGGTTTTCTAGAACAGTTACAAATAAGGCATACTGTGAATATGATAATCTGCATAACTGTCATTTTTGCTGTCATGTAAAAACGGGTTCCTGATGATCAGTCACCAGAAAACTATCCTAAGTGCTTACTGCAGGGCATTCTGTATTATCGGTATACTCCCATCAAAACTGAAATTTTAAACTTTGAGATGCTTACATGGAGCAGCAGACTCTTACTTCTTCAGCTTTGCATCCAGACATTACTGGAGTGTACTAGTCCAACCAACCCCTTTTTCAGTAACCTGGTGGTTTTGGAATGGGCCTGTTTGTGATGCTGGAAAACCTACTGCCTCACACACACAAAGCCTTATGGAAACAACAGCACTAAAAGTTTCTAACATCCACTAATCTTGCCTGGAATTCTGAATGTGATTTTTGATGCATAGAAAAATAGAGGCAGTTACACAGCACAGGCTTCAGGACATACACTCCAACTCAGCTCATATGGCAATGTGTACAGAGAGATTAGGGAAGATTCAGATTTATTGGAACATTCTGATTTTAAGGCAGCTGCAGCATTTTTCTGATTGGCATTAGTAACTCAGAGGGAGCGTTCAACTGTTCCCTGGAAAGTATGTTGAAATTTACATTTTTAACCATTAATAATAGTTACATTATACAATTTTCAACATATGAATTGAGACCAGTTATCCAAAAGAGGATTTATTTCAAATTGTATATAAACACACAGTAAAAATGTGTACTATGGTAAATATGACCTGATACTTTAATTAAACATCAATGATAATGAAACATGGATCCTGCATTCACAGGTGAGGAATTTAGCTGTAGTACAAAAGGTCTTGTGTTGACAGAGCAGACCTTTGTAGTATCTGCATTCACCAGAATTCTTCTTAGCAGATGGTTGACAGGGGTGGAAAAGGGTTTTGTTTGCTGACCACAAGCTTCTGATGCTGATAAGATATGTAACCTTTAATGTGTCCCTTATAAAAGAAAAAAAAAAAAAACATGAGCATTTCAATGACATAGCAGCTGGACATTCTGTCCAATGGTTGAGCCTGTTTGAAGACTATTTACGTCTGTATTTTTCTATATTGTATTATTACACAATGTGGTGCCTACAGTCAGGTCCATAAATATTGGGACATCAACACAATTCTAACATTTCTGGCTCTATACACCAACACAATGGATTTGAAATGAAACTAACAAGATGTGCTTTAACTGCAGACTGTCAGCTTTAATTGGAGGGTATTTACATCCAAATCAGGTGAACGGTGTAGGAATTACAACAGTTTGCATATGTGCCTCCCACTTGTTAAGGGACCAAAAGTAATGGGACAATTGGCTTCTCAGCTGTTCCATGGCCAGGTGTGTGTTATTCTCTCATTATCCCAATTACAATGAGCAGATAAAAGGTCCAGAGTTCATTTCAAGTGTGCTATTTGCATTTGGAATCTGTTGCTGTCAACTCTCAAGATGAGATCCAAAGAGCTGTCACTATCAGTGAAGCAAGCCATCATTAGGCTGAAAAAACAAAACAAACCCATCAGAGAGATAGCAAAAACATTAGGCGTGGCCAAAACAACTGTTTGGAAAATTCTTAAAAAGAAGGAATGCACCGGTGAGCTCAGCAACACCAAAAGACCTGGAATACCACGGAAAACAACTGTGGTGGATGACCAAAAAATTCTTTCCCTGGTGAAGAAAACACCCTTCACAACAGTTGGCCAGATCAAGAACACTCTCCAGGAGGTAGGTGTATGTGTGTCAAAGTCAACAATCAAGAGAAGACTTCACCAGAGTGAATACAGAGGGTTCACCACAAGATGTAAACCATTGGTGAGCCTCAAAAACAGGAAGGCCAGATTAGAGGTTGCCAAACGACATCTAAAAAAGCCTTCACAGTTCTGGAACAACATCCTATGGACAGATGAGACCAAGATCAACTTGTACCAGAGTGATGGAAAGAGAAGAGTATGGAGAAGGAAAGGAATTGCCCATGATCCTAAGCATGCCACCTCATCAGTGAAGCATGGTGGTGGTAGTGTCATGGCGTGGGCATGTATGGCTGCCAATGGAACTGGTTCTCTTGTATTTATTGATGATGTGACTGCTGACAAAAGCAGCCGGATGAATTGTGAAGTGTTTCGGGCAATATTATCTCCTCATATTCAGCCAAATGCTTCAGAACTCATTGGACGCCGCTTCACAGTGCAGATGGACAATGACCCAAAGCATACTGCAAAAGCAACCAAAGAGTTTTTTAAGGGAAAGAAGTGGAATGTTAAGCAATGGCCAAGTCAGTCACCTGACCTGAATCCGATTGAGCATGCATTTCACTTGCTGAAGACAAAACTGAAGGGAAAATGCCCCAAGAACAAGCAGGAACTGAGGACAGTTGCAGTAGAGGCCTGGCAGAGCATCACCAGGGATGAAACCCAGCGTCTGGTGATGTCTATGCGTTCCAGACTTCAGGCTGTAATTGACTGCAAAGGATTTGCAACCAAGTATTAAAAAGTGAAAGTTTGATTTATGATTATTATCCAGTCCCATTACTTTTGGTCCCTTAATAAGTGGGAGGCACATATGCAAACTGTTGTAATTCCTACACCGTTCACCTGATTTGGATGTAAATACCCTCCAATTAAAGCTGACAGTCTGCAGTTAAAGCACACCTTGTTCATTTCATTTCAAATCCATTGTGGTGGTGTATAGAGCCAAAAATGTTAGAATTGTGTCGATGTCCCAATATTTATGGACCTGACTGTATATTTAAAAAGGGATTCAAATCTTTACCAAGTAATCATAGACCTGTTAGTTTAACATCTATGGTTGGGAGAAACAGCAGAGAGTTTAATAAAAGACCACATAGATGAGTTCTTGCTGGAAAAAATATTTTAAGCAACAGACAGCATGGATTCATGAAAGACAGAAGTCGTCAAACAAATCTGATTTCTTTTTATGAGGAGGGGAGAAAAACCTTGGACAGAGGGGTGTCTGTGGATGTGGTATACTTGTATTTTGTAAAAGTGTTTGACACAGTTCCTCACACATTGCTAATATTTAAGGTAAAGTCTACAGGCTTGGAAAAAATCTGAATGTAAATGGGTGGAAAACTGGAAAAGATTGTATTCAGAGAGTAGTGGTTAATGATTCATACTCTGAATGGACTAGTGTTGTTAGTGGTGTACCCCAAGGTTTAATGTCGGGACCCTTACTGTTTAATATATTCATAAACTATATAGGGTCTGTGATTAAAAATATAACTTCAGTCTTTGCAGATGACACCAAGCTGTGCAGTGGAATAACGTCCTTACAGGATGTCTCCAACTTACAAGCTGACCTCGATGCACTGTTTAATTGGGCAACTATATGTGGCAAATGAGGTTTAATGTTGATAAATGTAAGGTTATGCACTTGGGGGCTAAGAATATGCATTCATCATACATACTAGGGGGAGTACAACTGGGGGAATCAATGGTGGAGAAGGATCTGGTAGATCACAAGCTTAATAATGGCATGCAATGACAAGCTGTAGTTTCTAAAGAGAGCAAATTCTTCTCTTGTATTAAAAGAGGTATAGACTCCAGAGAGAGAGATATCATATTACCCCTGTACTAATCATTAGTAAGACCTCATCTGGAATATGCAGTTCAGTTTTGGGCACCAATTCACAAAAAGAACATTGGGGAACTGGAGAAAGTACAGAGAAGGGCAACCAAACTGATAAGAGGCATGGAGGAGCTCAGATATGAGGAAAGATTAGAGGAACTGAATGTATTCTCTCTTGAGAAGAGGAGATTAAGGGGGGATATGATCAACATGTATAAATACATCAGTAGATCATATAGTGAACTCGGTGTAAAGTTATTCACCCTGAGGTCATCACAGAGGACAAGGGGGTTCTCTACATCTGGAGGAAAAGAGATTTAATCTCCAAATTCAGAAAGGTTTCATCACAGTAAGAGCTGTGAAAATGTGGAATAGACTCCCTCAAGAGTTGGTTCTGGCCAGCTCAGTGGATTACTTCAAAAAAGGCCTGGATTCTTTCTTAGATACACAGAATATAACTGGATACTAACATTTATAGGTAAAGTTGATCCAGGGAATATCTGATTGCCTCTTGGGGGAGAAGGAATTTTTTCTCCTGCAGGAGCAAATTGGATCTTGCTTTATTTGGTTTTTGCCTTCCTCTGGATCAACTATGGGTATAGGATTAGAATTTTTTTTTTGTATGATTGAACTGGATGGACTTTTGTCTTTTTCCAGCCAGACTAACTATGTAGAAAATATTTCTAACCCCAGATCCCTCACTCCTTTTTCCCCACTTTCCTTTTTACACCTCAGTGTCTGATGTAACAAGCCAGCAAGTATTCCAGAAAATTGCTGCTGTACCCCAGCGATACTGAAGCAGATGTGAATTCTCTTGTCAAAAAGGAACTGGAGGGAGGTGCCTCAAAAGTTGTGGAAATACCACATAGGTGGAGGGAGTCAGAGCCGCATGGAAAAAAACTGACCACCAGAGGATACATTGCACGGGGGATCAGATCCAGAATCTCCCGTCACCTGAAGGTGGAGACATAATTCTATTTCCATGGACATGAAGATGCTCTCTGTCCCATGATGTACGATAAAGAAAACTGTGAGCATTTTTTCAAATGCTTCAGTTTCTGAAATGGAAAAACAGTAAATCCATAGTGCGCTCCCAGCGCAGAGACTAAGCTGTCAGCGACAACTCCTGGTCTCGTATCAATGATCACATGGACACTTTGACAGACCCCTGAATAAAATAAAAAAAAGAGAGTACAGAAGCGGGTTTTACTGAACAATCACAGTCTATTTAAAAACATTGGTTAGATGAATATCAAGCACATTTGTGCACACTGCACAATTTCTGGATATACTTTCTCTAATAGAATAACCCCTCATTGATGTATTTCAGAAAAATTGGATTCTTTTCTATTTACTTACCTGTAAAATCCATTTGTTGGAGTACATCATGGGACACAGAACAAGCTATAATGATGACCATCTAGATGTGCTACCTATAGGTGAATTGGGCAGACCAGACAGACAGGAAGTCCTCCCCTATATAACCCCTCTCATACAGGTGGTACCTCAGTTTTGTAGCAAGCAATGAGCTCCCAGAAAGAGGAGAAGGACCTCTGTATCCCGGGATGTACTCCAAAAAAATTAATTTTACAGGTGAAAAGTAGAAAAAAAACAATTTTCTTTATCATAAATCTCGGGACACAGAGCAGGCTATAATCAAGACCATCTGGGATGTCCTAAAGCAATACGCTTGAGGGGAGGGAGACACAAACCACAACCACCGCCATCAACCAAAAGGACCTATTCTGCCACCCATAACACACTGAGGCCAAAGAAAGTATCCTCCGTGGCTCGAACATAGACCTGGTAAAAAACTTTGTGAATGTATGTACCGAAGACCTGAGCCGCTGCTGCCTGATATGCTCCTACACTTTTGCTAGAGTGGGCTCTTACCCAAAAGGGTGGAACTTTACCTTTCAAACCATAGCCTTGAATGATTACTTGGCAGATCCAATGCAAAATAGTCACTTTGGACACCGCCTGCCCTTTTCTGAGCCCCTCTGGCAGCACAAAGATTCAGTAATCCTGACCCGTGCCGACAATCTCAAATAGATCCTGTCCGCTTGAACTACATCCAAAGTTTGCACTGATCTTCCCCCTGCTGACTGAAGACTAGGAAAAAAGGAAGGCAAGACAATGTCTGATTCATATAAAGGGTCGCCTTTTTCTGCTCTGAGGTCCAAATGTCTTCTAGATGGAGATTATGATCATAGGGATTACTCTATTAGAGAAACTAGAGCCAGAATCTGTGCTCAACAGTGTGTGACATTCGTCCAAACAATGTTTTATAAATAAATTAGTGTCAATGTGTTTAGGTAGGATAAAAACAGCAAAATGCACACTATTTTTTCTTGGATCTACAGTACTATGGGTACAAACAGCAGATAATCTACATGCATGTGGTATCACAACAAACATAAGCAGTGTAAGAATTTATTTTGGAGGATTTTTGTTTGCTTGCGGGGCATGGTATTAGCAAAAAATATACAGCTAAAATGTAAAACATAATTATTTTCTATTTTGGACCAGATTTCCTTTCATTATACAACAGAAAATAACAAGGTATCCATTAACTTTTACCACCAAATGAAAGCCTAATTTATCCTGAAGAAAACAAGGTATAATTTACCTTGAAACACTAAGTAGTTGTGACAATATGTAAAGTTTTACTAACACATTCCAAAGCTGTAAAATGGCATTTAGGTATTAAGATGTGTTTTACCTTTAGACAGTAAGGTGTTAGTAGTACAAATCAAAAACAGCCAGATGTGTAAATTATAGTAGCTGAAATTAAGGACTTCTTCAGCTGTATGCTGGGTAGACATTGTATTATTTTTTTAGCTTTTTAATTCTGAAACTATTAAAGTCTGTATGTTATCATTTTGAGAATCTTAATGCCAATTCAGAATGAGGGGACATGCCTTATGCTGGGTTTTAAAACACATTTAATACCTAGCGATTATGATATTGAAAATGAAAAATCAAAGTGTACCATGTAAATCAGATTAGCTACAATGCAGTTTACTTCCTCTGTATCTGTATCTTCCACCCCCATGAATTTTAGGGCGACTAGAAAGGCATCAAGTGAAAGTTGATGTGTTCGAAGTAGCAGATACCTGAAAATGTAAAAATATATGGTAAATAACACAAACAAAAAATAGGTATTTATAATAAAAAGAAAAAAAGCATTCCCTGCATTCTGTCAAACACTGGAGGCTTTTTCCCTATATAAAGACTCTGTAAGCATGTATCTGTGTGCTCTGCTTCTCAGTGTTCACTCCCCTGCACAGCTCTCCTTTGTATACAAGCACCTCCTGCATTCTGTCTGTACTGAAGGCTTCCTGCGAATATAGTTACATTTTTCACTTTTATATTCCCATGGCTCAAACAACACTTCTCTCTCCAATTTCCCACTCAGTGCTGCACTCTACCCCCTACCAACTATACACTCCTGCTTTTCTTTCTTTTTGTTGTCATTCTGTGTCCTTGCTTAAACACAGAGGGGAAATTTACAAAAACTGAGCCAGCTGTCGGTTAGGCATCTGGGTGGATCCTTGTACAGTCACAGGAATGCAGAACTAAGTGCACTCCTGTGACCCACAGGAGAAATATGTCCAAAAGAGCTTGGCCCTACTTCTCCTTTAACATTTCTAGATGTTCTCCATAAAATAGTAAATTTTGGTTTTTGAATTTAGGTCCACTTTAAAAAAAAAAAAAAAAAAAAAAAAAAAAAAAAAGACAACTTGCCCTCAACTGAACATTTCTAAAACAGCAGTCTTACCAACTGTTAATAACCTTTGCCAGAGGAAAGTCAATACTTCACCTTTACATATTTTATGTTTTCTAAAGAAGAATATATAACAACTGTGTGCAGTTAATAAAGTACCTGTATGATATTTTCAAATGAATGCCTGAGTGCCAAGCTTGTAGCATGAACATTTGATAAATTGATCATTTAGAAAGCAGAGTGGGAGTAAAACAAGAAATGAGGAGATTATTACCAAATGTATATAACACGTTGAAACTCACACTTTCTTAAAAAGATTTCTGTATGTAATTATCTTCAGCTTTTCCAGAATCAGGAAGATACCACAGCGTGTGAAGAAAGTCTCATGTGTGGTTAAGGCCTCAGTCAATAGCCGAAGATTACCTTCACTGAAAACACAATGGACAGTTAAGTAAATGCTTTGCCATGACCCCAATTTACCCCTGAACTTCCCTATCCTCTTACAAATTAAGCTCTAGCATCATTTGCCAAATGATATTGAAACACTTATGGCCTGTTTTAGTGCAGCCAACCTTGTTAAGAATAGAGTGCATCAAGTATGGCCCCTTGGACTGCACTTGAGGCCCTGGACAATACCACCACACAAAACGCATGCATCCAATGAACACCAACACATGTGTTTGTGTGCAGCAAGTTGCAGTACCACTGATTTTCATTGACAACTCAAGACACTCTACGGATTAGTAAAAAAAGGTGCATGAGATGTGCTGGCAGCCCATTCAAAATAAATAGAACACAACACATTACAAGTACATTAGCCCACCACCACAGACTGTATAGGTGTAAACTAATTTTTGTCACCGTCAGCATTCCCAAACAGGTCATGCAGCCTGTAGAGGGCATTCTATATCAGCTGTTAGTCCCATCTTCAGAGGTACATGACCTCCATGTGTCCGGGGCTGAACAGAAGCAGGCTGGATAGCCACTGATAAGCAGATTCCTTCATCAAGGGAATGCAGCCAGCATACATCAGGAGCCCTTCAGAGAAATGTTTTCTTTCCTTGGGGCCCAAAGGTGGCAGACCCAGCACAGTACACAGGGGTCAGAGCTTGGGACCCTAAAATGTTTGACAAAGAATATAATTGCCTGGAACTTACAGTATTAATAACCGGCTCCAGTGATATATACAGAAAATCCCAACAGTACTATACCTGACAGCCTTGGTGACATCTGCAAATTGCATCAGGTCATATTTTTTCTGAGCAATTGTATGGCTGGCATGTGACCCTGAAGATTAAAGGAAGAACAATTAAAGATAAGTTTTAAGTATAGGATATATTTTTGAAAACAATGCTGGGTAGCAGTTCTGACAGCCAAGGTTTCAGCACTTCTTGTTTGTGTTGAAATTCACCCTACCTTTTCTGCCTCTTGCACATTTCTCGGAAAGGCAGTCTATCAAGCCAACAGAAAAATTTAGGATTGGGGGTCAGCGGAAAAGCTTGACATCACCCAAAAATATTAGTTTTGGGATTCTGCTGCAAGCAGGAGTTTTGGAGGCTACTGCAGGCACCTGGAGGAGGTTTTTTTTTGGTAAACATTTATGACATATTCTCTTTCAGTCTAGGGCAATGAATACAAATCTTAATGGAAGTGTTGAGCATAGCTCAAAGTTCTAGGAGAATATTAGGTTGACCTCGGCAGACATCTTTTAAATATCAAGTCACAGGTCTTGTCTTTGATTCCCAACAAGGACCCTACTTGCATGGATTTGTATGAGTCTTGAATTATTTTGGTTTCCTCCCACTATAAAAAAAACAAAAAAAAAAAACACAGCAGTACGGAATTTGGCACTGCATTGTGTACATCTGACAGAGTAAACCCTGCCCACACAGTAACATCTATGAAAATTCAAATACAATGGAAACATTAAATAATTTCTTGTAACAATTTACAGCTTTTAATAATTTACTTAAGGCAGTCACTAAAAGAACAAGGTGGTGCAGACAGGACTGGAATCCGATTTTTATATTAACATATACCTCATGATAAAAAAAAAATCAGTTAACAGGAACGTTTACCTAATGCAATAATCCTGCATTACCTTTAGCAATGTATTTGATATTCAGATACAGATTCATTCTTTTCTTGAATGAACATAGTGACCGGTAGGAAATTAATGTGTTTTTGTTTTTTTTTTACATATAATTGTTGAAAAACATTTGAGCAACTATCACAGTACCCACAAAAATGTTTTCAGAATATTCTAAAGCTGTAAGTGAACAATAAAAATTGCAAAAATGTTCTAACCACCTGAAGTTTAAAGTGTCCCACGGTGTCCTCCCCGCAGCCCGTTTCACCAGCCGTCTGGTGTTTCAGGCATTGGCATCTCCCGGTTGTGGGCACCTGGCTGCGACAGATTGCGGCTTCACAGACGAGTGCCCACTGCGCATGTGCGAGCAACGCTGCGCTACCTGAATGGCCCCATAGTCTTCTGGGACCTGTCACGTGTTCCAGAATACTATGGGGAGTGAGGTTTGGAGGACCACGTCCGCTTCTGATCGCCTAAGCGATTGCAGCGGACGTGGGAGCGGGTACCTGTCAATTTTAGGTACCCGCTCCCCAAAGGTGCCAATCCTTAATGGGGAGCGGGGGACCAATCTTTAAAGCAGAATTTCCCCTTTTGGGTAGAGCTCAGCTTTAATACTGCAAAATAGGAGTCTGATTAGGCCTTTAACATAGGCATTTCTGAATCTCTTGTTTAACCATTTCCAATGTCATTTTTTTCCATTTTGCACAAATTAAAACGCACATTTTCGCCCTGAAGACTGGTAAAACCCCCACTTTTATATTTTCTGAAAGCAGAGATCCTGGAGAATAAAAATGTGAAAGATGCAATTCTCTTTGTATGCTTCCTTTGTGTGATATCCCTGGTGTTCCTGTCAGTCCCTCTGCTTTCCTATTAAAAACTGACCATGCTAGGTATGAGAACACAGGGTGGTCAGTGTTCTGGCTGTGCTGGGAGCTCATCCAATGATCAGGCTTGTGCTGACACACCCCTCCAGCCATTCACTGGGAATATCAGTGCACTGCTGTTTCCCCTCCCCTAGTTGCAGCTGAGAGCAGATGGTATTAATCACTTGTAAAAAAAAAAAAAAGTATAAGGCTTCATGCACATGGGGCGTTTTAATGTCGTTGGTAATGTTAGCTGTGTAAAGTCACGTTAAAAACTTGAGTTTTTTGCATTTTCAAAGTTTTTGTATTAGCATTGTTTTGCTGCGTTTTTTCACATTTGCAGCTTTTAGAGGTTTTTTTTTTTTTTTTTTTAAACAAACAAAAAAAATTTTTTTTTTCTAGTCAAAAAAAGTCCATAAACGCTGGTTTGCTGCGATTTACTCTATTTTGCCACGTTTTTACAGCTAAAAAACTGCTCTCGAAACCCACTAGTCCTCTGTTTTTTTTTACAGCCAAAAAACGTTGATTACAGTCTATGTGTGCATGAGCACATAGGATAACATGCTGGGGGGTTTACTGGCTGTAGAAAAAAAAACCGTCAAAAGCCAAAAACAGCAGCTGTAAAAACGTCCGGTGTGCATGAGGACTAAAAGGGTATTTATAATGTTATTTATATACATGCACAAATCTCGTGCAGTTGTGCATGGTAGCCAATCAGCTTCTAATTTTAGCTTGTTCAATTAGGCTTTGACAAAAAAAAAAAAAAACACTGGAAGCTGATTGGTTTCCATGCACAGAATTGTTGTATGAGTTTATGTTCTTATGTGCGTTAAAGTGGGAGGAGGAAACCATTAGCAGGACATGGCTTTACAGCCACCCAAATCTCACTAGAGAGCCCAGAGTCAGCTTAACAAATTTAAACATGCTTCCAGCTGCTAAGGCAGCTGGTAATGTGTTTAATATTCCTTGCTACCAGCCACCATTTATAAATAGCTCTGGTGATTAAATGCACTTTATTCACATAATATAGACATTTACTGGTGAAGCTAAAATATGCATCGGCGAGCACTCACCAGCAGCATCTTTACTGGCAAAAGGTAGATGAGAATCATCCTTTTATTTTTTTGACACGTGCGGAGACAGTTCCTAAAGGCAAATGACAGACATTCTTCAGCTAAAAGAAAAAAAAAAGAAAAGTTTATCACTAAACACTTTTGTATTCAGTTCAAAATATCATTTTAATATACATGAACCATCCTGGACCAAATGATTCAGCATCTGAAGAATTAGAAAATGTACTATTTAAAGCCTTAAAAGCCAAGGGGCATTACCTACTATTAATCTGATCTTGAAATCTTTCTCCATCGATCCTCCACTGCTGTAATCTTCCAAGACACCAGAAGATTACCATGACAGGGGTGGGGGGAATCGCAGGAGGAAAATGTCAATGAATGCAGAAGCTAGCAGGACAAGGAATGTATCAGATTAATAAGTGGTGTCCCTCATGTTGTGTTTTTTGTTAGGCTTTAGCTTTGTAACATTGACGTTACACATGTCCTGTTTAATAGAAAGCTGCCTAAACTAGACTCCAAAATTCTACATTAATTTGTTGACCCCTGCTGCAAGTTTTGTTGATATAACATCTCTCTCTGTGCCTTCTAATCAGAATGGACTATAAAATGCAATCTTTGCCTCAAATGAAATAGCAGGAACCAAAAAATGTACATAACATCCTGTTTATTGTAAGGTCAATTGGTATATCCTGTCTTTCCAGCTACAAAATACTAATTCAGCACCTAAAGCACAGATTGCTAAATGTTCATAATTAATTACAGGAATAGCAAGGTAAACACAATTGGGAGAGATTTACTAAAACTGGAATCAGCTTCCAGGTTTTATTGTCAAAACGTAATTGAAGAAGCTGAAGTTTGAAGTTGATTGGTTTTTATGTACAGCTGCACCAGTTTTAGTAAATCTCCCACATTAAGACAAGTATTTGGCTGTGCCAAGTTAAAAATCAGGTAATTCAAGTGCTCCTCTAGAAACAGAGACATTCTTTATTAGCATTATTCCCAAACCCAAATGATGAAATTATCTGTGATTTCTGTTTCATGTACCTTTTTTGAAGTCACTGTCAAACATTGCCTTGCGACCAACATAATATCTATAAGTCACTCTTTGAGACATGGCATATTCATCTTTAAAGTTGGAACTGTCAATGGCCCTGATTAAGGGTTTGCACAAATGAAGTTTGCTAATCTGTAACAGAAAAACAAGAAGGGAAATCTATACTTAGTGTTTACAGAGAGAGAAAATTTTTTTTCTACAAATAAAAAACTAGAAAAAGTGTGCTCGCTCATTTAATGGGCTGGAAGGTGCCTCACTAGTACAACGGCAGTGAGTGTGGAGGCCTGCATCGGTGGAAAGGTAGCAAGTGCAGAGGTGGGATAGCGGTTTGATGGTGTGAGCTTCTAGACAGATTTTAATGCCTGCTTAAGCTGCAGCAGGAGCCATAAGGTTTGGCGGAGGTGTACCGTGATGGGGACAGAAAATCAGGCCATGTCCCACTGCAATGCAAAATACCGGTCATAAATCCCTCTGAATGTGCTTCCCACTGGCTATGGCTGCTGTGGATGGCTCTGGTTTACATTTAAATGCTGATGCGAACACACATGCATAGTAGCAACACATTTTTACTTACCTGCAGAGTTACCTGCCAAAGGGACCACTCTTGATTGGCTTCCTGCTGAGTGAGTGGAGCTGGTCTAGTTACCTTTGATGCTACTGTGCATGCTTAGTAGCAAGACACTGTTTATTCCTGTTGCCACTGCACATACACCATGTATTGGTGCCATTTTGGCTTATCCCAAAGACTCTACACTATCCCCAGAGTGGACCTGGCATTTAGTGACAGTGATGCTGATCTTCTTTAATCTGCAGAGTTGCCAATACCAACAAGCAGATCCCAGAACAGGAAGTCTGCTGTCACTAATAACATATCTGTGGCTCCTGCGTGCTACATGATCTATTGAAGAAAGGTGCGAGTTATTAGCAACAGAAGACTTCCTGTCCCGGAAGCTAATTTCTGATATGTACAGGGATCATTGGAGGTTAGAGGAAAGATCAGTGTCACTAAATGCTGAGCCTGGTGCCACTTCCTTCACAGTAGAACCTCTATGGGGATGGGAGACAGAATAGTCTCCTGGCCTAATGATGTCTATGGGGTTCTACTGCCTACAGTGAGAAGAGGAAGACCCAATGACCACAGGTAAACATTGCGTGAGAAAGCTGGTGGACATGCTACCAGAACGTTCAAAAGAAGGCTGTTTGAAAGTATCCTTGTCATTTAAGTTAAAAACAATCATAAAGCAATTTTATGGTATTCATTATATTGAAAGACAATTGTTTTAACAATAAAAGCATCCAACTTATTAAACGTTGAACTGCTTTTACCTGTAAATTCCATATTTTGGAGTACAGTACAGGACAATAGCAACTTATTCACACACCATGAGTTATAGGCTTGTGCCTTAAGGTTATTGGACACTGGCAAGCTTTTGAGAACATGTCTCCCTCGGGTGCCTCCCCTATAACCTTACCCCACTCTGTAAGTCTGGAATGCAGAATAAACAAGGAGAGCTGGGGAGGGTGACCGGTGTCCTCTACTGTACTTCAAAATGTGAAAATCACAGTCAAGTCATAATTCTTTGTATCTTAATCGTACATTCCAGGAAACCGGCAACTTATTCAAACACCATGGGACATCCCCAAGGAATGAAAAAAGGTTGTATGACAACAAGCACACAGGACTGTGGGCACAAGCCCAAAGAAACAAAAACAAGTTCACAGTGCTGCTGAGAGAACCTTGCGGCCAAAAGGTGCATCTACGAAAAAATGGAAATCCACCTGATAAAACTTTTGAAAAAGTATGAGCAGAAGACCAGGTGGTGGCTATACATAATTGGGCAACAAAGGCTTGGTGCCTGAAGGCCCAGGATACTCCAACAGATCTTGTGGAGTAGCCATGCAACAGCACAGGAGGAGGTTTCTGCTTAATAGCATAAACTTGTGTAATCAAGTTCCTGATCCACTGTGCAATGGTACACTCTAATGGCTTTGACTATGTCCAGGCAATGTAGAGAGAATTCCTTTGGATGCTTAGCTGCAAGGCACAAGGATGGCAGAACAATGTCTCCATTGAGACATAATGCCAAAACCAATTTTGGAAGAAGAGACGGTCTTGAGTGCAATACAACTTTGTCATTGTGAAGTATGAGGAAAGGCTCTTTTATAGGAAAGGTTGCCAGTTCTGACAAACGTGATGGCTAACAAAAAGTCTGCTTTGCCTCTTATAAGTTTCCAAGGGAATATCCCTGATGGGTTCATTTGGAGGTTTTTGCAGGACAGAGAGAACCAAATAACTTTCCAGGGAAGCAAAAGGTGCTGCAAGGGGGGCTGAACACAAGAAACACCTTGAATAAAGATTTTTACAAGGAAATACGAGGAAAGAAGCCTTTGAAAAAGGATGGATACGGCCAATAACTGCAGCGCCCATGCTGTTAAAGCCAGAGACTGTGAAGTAGGGTGGAATAGAACACCTTGAGACAGGAGATCTGGTCTGTTAGGAAGAGACCAGGGATTGCCTACTAGAAGTCCGAGTATGTCTGTGTATCAGGTTCTTCTGGGCCAATTTAGAGTCAATAAAATCACTGGTTTCCTCTCTTGCTGTATTCTTTGGTGCAGTCGAGATAAAATTCATAGCGGAGAAAGGGCATAAATTAACCTGAACTGAGACCAGGGGATAACTAGAGCTTCTGAGGCCATAGCTAGTGGATCTCTACCTCTGGTAATAAGGATAGCTTGTTGTGTTTGGAGGCTAAGAGGTCCATATCTGGAGTCCCCTACCTTTGGCATATCCAACTGAACACATCTGAATGAAGAGACCATTCCCCTGATCCAAAGGGTAGTGCCTGAGATAATCTACCTGCCAGTTGTCTACTCTTGGGATGTGGACTGCAGAGATCACTGGACATTGAGTTTCAGTTCATGACAATATCTGGTTCACTTCTTTAAAGACAGTTAGGCTTCTTGTGGCCTCCTTCATGGTTCATATAAGCCATTGTGTAGTGGCACTGTTTAACTGCATTTGAATTGGGCGTCCCATAGATGGGGGGTCCATTGCTGAAGAGACAACCTGACTCCTGAGTTTCAAAATGCTGACAGGGAGTTTTGTTTCTTCTTTTGACCAATTTCCTGAACTGATAAAAATTGCAAAACCCCTTCCCAGCCTGACATACTTGTGTCTGTTGTAACAACCTTCCAATTGTAATGAAGGAAGGATTTTCCTTCTGTTAGAGTTGGAGTGGCGAACCACCAAAACAAGGAAGTTCTTGCTTGTCTGGACAGGAACATGGATAAATCCAGGGAAAGGGTTCATGACCCTGGACCTGTTTAGCACCCTGTGGCTAACTCAACACAAGTGGCAAGGTGAGACCCCCCCATGCAGGATCCAGTGCCCAAAGAAACATTACAGGTCATTTTCAGTGCGGGGTCCAGGTTCGGCTCCCGAGGTATTTACAGAGTTTGCACTGATCTGGATATACTACTTCTGTGGACAATGGAAGACAGTAAGGGTTGATTAAAGAATTCTAAGAAAATAAAAAAATAAAATTAATAAAGGAAATTAAACTAGTGAAGTTAACTACTCCACAAAGAAAAGAAGCGCATCACTTTCAAGACTCAGAGAGTGGGGTAGGGTTATAGGGGAGATGCCCCAGCTGGGCATGTCCTCAAAAGCTTGCAAGTGTCCAATCAACTGAAGGTATTAACTTCTACACCATGATGTATTAATAAGTTTCATGTAGCGTGTACTGTACGATTAAGATACATAATTGTCATGATCTCAAACATCATAACAGCTGAGAGTTATTAATCTGGAAGTTTCTAAAAATATATGGAAAAAAAACGTAATACCTGCCATTTTGAAAGCCTCCTCCTAAGTCCTCATAGTCAACACATCAATTGGCCAACAGTGCAGAAAATATTAAGACACACACGCACGCACGCACGCACACACACACGTTCCACTGCGGGGTACTACTGCATGTGTTGCGTTAAGGCAGCCATTTAGGGCAAATATAATGCAAGGTACATATGTAGCGGAGCACTTTAGCATGCATTAATTGGCACATACTGTACCTGTGTGTTGGGGTGGCATTCTACATTAATTTCACTGCATTGTACCACACAGAGTGCCTTGTGTTATTGCTGCTGTAAAACAGACATTTCTGCAATAAATAGGTCTGAAGAGGCCTAAAGGCTAATTTTCCTTTCAAATAACTTAAGTCCTTTCCGTGCTAACTAAATCCCCTTGAGCTTACCTTAGATCAGCAGGTAATGCAGCCCAGGAGCCTGCATCATAGCTGGTGGTGCTCAGTCAGAGAAGCATCCCTGCAGACTTACAAGTCTTACAAGTAGCTTTTGTATTCAGGCCAATGTAGAAGCCAGTATCCCTGGCGTTCTGCACTATGACATCTCCCTGTCACTCAGCACCCCTACCATTGAATCCCTCCTGCATCCCTGAGTCAGAGGTTTCCAGTCTGCCAGCCACACCCCTTACCCCGGTACTGCAACACCCTTTACCCCTGACTCTGAACTACCCTGCCTACAGAATCCATGTCACTGAATGCCAACACCCCAGACACTGCAATTTTCAGTCCGCTAGCAACCCTGCATGTTGCACCACTGCTTCCATGATCCCATAACCCTTTGTCACCTTTGCAGGGACATGCAGAGAGGAGAGGCTGAGTCAGGGGCTTATGGGTTCTACTTCTGGGCTGAGGGGAAGAGTGAAACCAAAAAACACTAAGATTTTATTATAATCGTGACCACCTAACAGCTAGTGTAAGCTCCCCCCTTTTGGGAGTTGGGAGGATGAATTTAATCAAAATGGTGTGGGCCCCACAACTTCTCTACATATTTCACAAATTCTCATGTATGGATTCCTAAAAAATAGTTCAACTGCATAGAAACTCAGTTTAGATCCCTCATCTGGAAAAAAAACAGACTGCTAGGATTAGGCTATCCACTTTACAATACGGCAAGGACTCTGGGGGCTTAGCGGTACCTGACCCCAGGATGTATTTCCTGGCAGCTCAACCTCAGCAGCTAGTAGGGTGGGACTTACTTGATACTGGGGACCCTATCATAGGCCTAATTTCTCTCGGACCTTACCCTCCCTGCTCTTTCCCACTTAGAAATGGCTCTACCAGGCCTCTCTCCTCAAGCCCCCACTGCGGATATCCTAAAGAGACTGTGGCGAACTGTGAAAACTTCCCTTCATGTGACTGGGTATTTGCCCTGTACCATGTTAGGGCACAATACTAATTACACTGAATTAGCCAAACTAGAGGAATTCCAAGACTGGCGGGAAAAAGGAGTGACATTTGTGGCTCAGCTGTATTCACAGGGAACATTAAAGTCCTTTGCACAGCTTCAAACTGAATTTGCACTTGCTCACAAACAATTTTACCAGTACCTTCATATGTGCCACGCCTTACAAGCCCAATCTCTCCTCTCTAATCTCACACTGACGGAGTCTGCTATTTATAAAGAAGTTACTCAGGCGTCACACAAAAAGGGTATGATATCTCGTATTTATTCACAATTATTGGCTACTATATAACATCCCGCCAATCTGCGTAGTAGAACGCAATAGGCCCAAGATGTTGATGAGCTTACTGGCGAACTCTGGGATGCTGGCCTGGAGTATGTACTAGTGATCTCTCTCTCGGCCTCCCACAAATTAGCTCAATTAAGGTGCCCAAGGTGCAATATACACAGGTGTGACTTTATATGATCTGGCGTTGCCGAAAATTGACTAGATATTGGAAGGAGGTCTTACAATCTCTCTAGTATCGCAACATACCATACCTCAGGAACTTCTAATTTGCCTACTAGGCGCATTCGATCAGGAAGTATTCCAACCCAGAGAGTATATTATGGCTTATACACTACTGTATGTTGCCAGGAAATTAATTGCTAGACGATGGCTGTCTCTGTCCCCACCAACCAGTAAACAGTGGGCAGATTATGTTAATTCATTATTGCTTAGAGAAAAACTTTCATAGCAACACCGTATTGCCCATCGTAAATTTCAGACTGTCTGGCAATGTTGGTTAGCTATACCTGGGCTTGCTCCATCTCAGTTGATAATGGATAGGTTGTTACAAGTGTGATACCTTACCCCTACGTAGGCACCACTGCATACCCCTCGGTTTGTGTTTGAGAAGTCAAGCTGGTCTTTAGCTTTGTGCCCTAGGCATCATTGTAAGCTCTAATGAGCAGGGCTCTCTGATTCCTACTGTATTAAATTGTATTGTCATTGTACTGTCTGCCCTTATGTTGTAAGGAGCTGCATAAACTGCTGGTGCTATAAAAATCCTGTATAATAATAATAATATCCATTTTGAACATGCAGTCTCTATAACAGGCAGAGACTAAGCGGGTAACTAAAACTTAATTTTAAATTCTGCACTCTTCCAAGTATAGGACAGTGATCACTAAATGGCGGACCGAAGGACAGTCCCGTCCGGACCGCGGCCACGCCACTGCCAGGTGCCCTACCCCCCGGCCCCCCGCCCAGCCACCAACGCCATCACAGCGGGTGGGGTGCGAGGAGCCGCAGATCGGGACCGAGAAGTGGGAGCTGCCCAAGTCACTATATCAACAAATGGGCGACCGCACGGCCCGTCAACATGAAAAGACTCCTGCCCCCCCCTTGAGCCACAGAGAGCGGATGTCCCCACACACCAACAAGCTGGGCAATCACCAGCTCCCGCCCCCCCACACCCCATTCACAATTAGTACGGCACCGGTGGCTGAGGGGGAGGCCTGGAAGAGGACACCCAGCAGCGGCATGGCCGCGGTCCGGACAGGAACGATCCTTGGTGGGCAGGGCATGAGGAGCTGCAGATCAGGACCGAGAGGCAGGAGCTGGCGACCACCCAGCCTGTCAACGTGCAAAGACCTCCGCTCTCTGCATCTTGAGACGGAAAGCAGGAGCCCCTCCACACCAGCAAGCCAGGCAGTCGCCCATCTGCCAACACAACAACATGGGCAGCTCCTGTCCCCCACACCCCGCCCACCATGAGGATGACACCGGTGGTGGGCCAGAGGCCCAGGAGAGGACACCCCAGAAGGATTAGTGTCTCTTGCGTGCCTAAGTTACCATAGGACCAAACAGGGGAAGGCTTGCATTAAAACAGACACTGCGTTGTGTTAGGGGCACTCAGTTGTGTTAGGAGGCGCTGCGTTGTGTTAAGGGATTCTGTGATGTAAAGGGGGGCAGATATGTGAAGGGGAAAAGAGGGACACTGGCACTTCTTTAAAAAGGGGACTGTGAAGTAGAGGGGACTACAGTGTGAAAAGGTACTCTAAAGATCATAATGTACCAGGGGACTGTGATGTGTTATATCGTTAACGAGTTTCAGACCTCTGCTGGAAGGAAATTTTGCTGATCGGACCTCCGTAAATTTTAATTCAAGACCCCTGATCTAGGATAAAGCTAGTACAGTTAGAAAAATCATACTAAAGCATTTTATAATTCTAGGATTTATTCCCTTTAATATATATACCACATCAGAGCATTATCAGCAGTTTCAAAGGCTTAAGGGCCATCCTGGCAAAAGAAAAAAGAACAAATTGCTAAATCAACCGAAAAAAAATAAATAAAAAAAAGTGTTTAGATCACAAAATATTGAAACGCAAGGGCAATACTGAAACAAAATTCCAAAAAAGGAAGTCAAGTCAGCCTACCTTAAAATAAATCCTAAAAAGTTGATTGACGAGAAACAACATTCCCCACTTTTTGGAGTCATCAAAAGATGCACGGCTGTAATATAAAACAAAAAAAGAACATTTTATAAAGCACAAAATGACTTAGAAAAACTGCTGATTATTTAATCTCTCAAGCTTCAGAATATGCAGTTGACAAGCCAAAGAACTTATACAAGTACATTAATAGCATTCAAAGTACTATGACATTCACAGATAGGACCATGTACCTAAACTAAAAGCCATAACCCTGTATTGGGATTGTACCGTTTGGCTGGCTGGCTGGCAGAAATGGGACTTGGAGCCTTCAAATGCATTTTTTTTAAATTTAAAAATAATTGTACTATAAGTTTTTTGGGACTTGTCAGGACACAACGTTAGCCGAGGTGTAAACTTTCAAATTTCTCAACTGGAGATCTTATAAAACCATATTTCCTGTTCCTGGGTGTCTATATTGACTTCTTCATGGTATGTATGGACGGAGCCATGTTGTCAAAGCTGGACTTCAAACATGCCTGCCTTTGTTCATACCCATTATATAAGGGCTGACGAGATTTTTACAAAAGAAAGAGGTTTTTGCTTTCTGTTAAGCTCATAGAAGTAAGGAGGACACTGTAATTCTGACACGATCAACTGATATTTCCTGTACTTGCTGAAAATGTTCTGAAAAAAAACAAAGTAAATGCAGCTACTACATACAGTGACTGGTGAGCGGCAATATATTACATTTGTTTTTAGTTATTCTTTAATAATATATGACTGTATACAGATATATATTTCAATTGGGTAAAGTACAACTCCAACTTAAAATACATACAGTACATGTTTAATGTTTTACTTTTGTTTGTATTTTTGGCCAGCCATGTGAGCAATACAAACACTCAGCTAGTAAGATCACACTTTGCTAACTCAGGGATTAGTATTTACATCCTAAATCAGCTCCTGCTCATTGGACAAAGAATTAAGGTCAATGCATTGTCCAATAAGCAACCATGTAAAAATTTGAAGTTATTACACACAGAAAAAAAAAAAATGTTTTGGCAATAACTAGTAATGTTCTTAATGAAAGCATACTATGCTCTTTAAAACAATGTACTGCAGTTTACAGATTTTGTACTTTTGTCATGAAAACTATCCCAATTACGTTTTTTTAAAATGTCATATTTGTCATAATTATGCAGGACAATATCATAATGTGCTAGTGTGCACTGCATACTAGCACATTATGACAGACTTGACTTAAAATTAAGTCCTCCAGCGGCACACTGTCACCGCTGCTGGGTCTTCTATTAAAAGCTTACCTGTGGGTATAAATTGAACAGGTGACTTTACTACTGCTTTAACTGAAAGCAAAACACTGGCTTACATGTGTACTGACATGCAGATGCAATGCAAATGCAGCATCTTAAACAGATAGTTTATTCTGCAATATAAACAAACTCAGACTAAGCAATGCTACTGCAATATACAGTACAGATACAAAACAGCGGGGCTTACAATTCTTAGCATTTTTAAATTTGCCAAGGTCACAACTCATTGTTTAATACATGAATTCGAACTTTTTGAACAGTTAACACATTGCTGTATATTGTGACATCAGGAACCTGTTCAAGCAGATTTATATGTTTATTGATAGGTGTTAATGGCCAACACTTCAAGGTATGAAGAATAAAATGAAATGCTTACGTGTCACTAGCACACACTCTGAAGCAACTCATCAACAGTTCTGCTGCTTTTTCTAACATATCACCAATTTTGCCTTTTCCTTTCTTAACCAGTTGCTGGTCAGCCTAAAAAAAAAAAAAAGTGACACACAATTTACAGCCATCAATATGTACCAGTGGTTATGTTGTCTGAGAAGATATTGCTGCTTATTGACCTGACACTTTCACCTTTGGGAACATGTTACACCTGTTTTTAGGGTGGAACATAAAACATGTCCCTTTGGGAACATGTTACACCTGTTTTTAGGGTGGAACATAAAACATGTCCCCACTACAGCAGCCGCTGCCCCCCCCAGTGACAATATCATGGGCAGAAGTTCCCCATACTAGCTGTCAATTTTTTAAATTAAAGCGTCTGTGCAGGGCTCCGCCCACACGGCCGAGTCATTCATTCACAGAGTTCTGTGAATGAACTACAAGTACCGACATCCTTTGTAGTTCTCAGTGAACTACCATGGCACTATGGTAGATCATTCAGTCTCCCTGGGAGTGTTAAACTGTCTGCTCTTACAAGGTACGAACACAGAGGTTAAACTGAAAGTCTGCTGGAGACCCACATTACACTACCAATCACTGGTGCAATGCTTTACAGGTTTCAAAAAAACTTAAATAATATAAAAGGCACATACCATTACCTACATGTGCATTTATTATTATTATTTGTGAACTTTTCCTTTGAAATAAAACATTAAGCAAGATCAATCTACAGTGTAGATCCAGCTGATTACTTTATTATAAAAATAAGGCCAGAATAAGCGCAAGCAACTACTCACAGCAGCTTCATAAACAGGGGGACTCTCAGAAACAAAATTCCCCACAGTAAATTGTCAATTTTTACATATAATATTTTTTTTTCTTTTCAAACATGAAGCTGTTCCCAGACTATGTACATACGGCCATTGTGGAGAAATTAATTTCATGACAGAGGCATAGAAATCTCAGCTATTTTCTGGAGAGCAGAATCTTGGCAGCCTGACATCCTTATAATGTAAACAAGCATTAGGTGTTTCTGAACTGTAATGAACTGACTATAGTATTTGCTGTGATCTTCAAGGAACTCTGAATTACTTTTAGTGCAAGCAGTAAAACATGTCTAGGGTGGCTCGCTTTAAAGCTATTTTACTATTTGATAGCAATATGTTGATACTTTAATGTTCATAGTCTGGACCCAGGTATACTTTAAAATGGTTGTAAAGGCTAACGTTTTTTTGTTTAATTAAAATAAAAAAAGTAGTTATATTAACCTGCTCTGTGCAATAGTATTGCACAAAGTGGCCCCTTACCTGCTCTTTTTTGGTGAATCCAAGAGGTCAGTGGTTTGGCATGGGTACCATTCAGAGAATGTTTTGCGTTGCTTGAAGAACTGCAAAGCGTTCTCTGATTGGATGAGGTGGAGAGGCAAGGCGGTGATGTCATGCTCACCACATCATCCAGGGAATGTTTTGCATTCATTCAGAAAAAGCAAAGCATTCTCTGATTGGTGCCCATGCCGAGCAGCCAAGTGCACCAAGTAGAAGTGAATAACTATATTCTCTTCACACACATTCCTGGAGGTACAGCTCATCAATGGAGAGTGCTGTAGCGACTACCAGCTGGGACTGGAAACATAAGCAAACGTACATATTCGGCAGCACACCACGATCTCCAATATGGTTCACAAAATTTGTAATGTGATCTCTTTGGTATAAAGACCTTATTTGGACCATATTGGAGATCTGTGGTGTGCTGGCGAATATGTACGTTTGCTTAAATGGAAGTGCAGATGCTCAGCCCAAGACCCAGAACCACATGGAGTTCACTGAAGTAGCAGAGTTTGCGTAAGTGCTTTCCAACTTCCAGAGGCATTGGTCAGGTATAGTATACACATAGTTACATTGGTCCGCTGTAACTATGTATAAAATACCCATGCTGTAATTATTCTTCAACCCCTTCCCCCCTGCCCCGGCATCCCTTTAACTGGGCTCATACAATCGAGGGGCAGGAAGGTCTGCCTAGTCCTATGATAACTGACTGGCTGTCAGAGTGGTCACATGATCGGGAGCTGGTCCTGCTGGTTCCTCATCATTAGTACAGACCAAGAGTTGTTTTAACAGCTTAGTCTCTGTGCTGGAAGTGCGCAGTGAGCGAGCTCTCAGCACTGAAAAACTCTGTCACACATAGACGCATATGTATGGCATGTGGGTGCTAAACCCACCCTCTTTGCCGCCACACATAAGCCTTATTTGGATGGCAAGAGGTTAAGTCTTCACTAAATCAAAAAGTACCAGGTGACATGACAGATAATACTATTAGACATTCTCTATGACTTTCAAATCAATTCAATTTTCTGAGGATGTACTCAAACAAAATTATTTGAAAAAACGCTCTTATTATCAGCAGATGAAGCTAAATGTGGATCTGTGGAAAAATACTGTATTGGCTATCTTCAGAAAGCAATCTTTCCTTAGCTGCTTCACTGGGTCCTTCCAAGTGTCCAGATAAAAAACAAAACAGTGGCTCCATGGTTACCATACTTTTTTTTTTTTTGTATGGTTTATTGCTTTTAGCATCCATGCACACTAGGCAGCTAAAAAAATACCAGAACCTCATGCAGAACAAGCAGCATAAAAATACTTTTAGTGGCTTGTATTGCACAATAGTTTATGGGCATTTGTCTTTGTGTAAATATGTGGGTTTTTTTTTTTCAAAAACATTCCCTCTGCGCATTTTTCACTATAATCAATGTACATTTGCAAACGGCGAATCAAGTGTTTTTATCTGCCCAAAAAGCTCCTCTCAAATACACAATTCTGATGTTTTTTTGTCTGCATGAAAACGCTTCTATGCAAATATGCCTCTAAGCTTCCTAATGTGCATGGACAAATAGACTAACAGAGCTGCTTATACAGGCTGAAGAAAAAAAAAATGCCAAAAGTCTATATAAGCAGCATTTTTTATGCCCAGTGTGGATAAATCCTTAAACATGTGATTCAATACAGTTGCAAAACACATACATTTGTGAGAAAAACATAAGACAACCAATACAGTCTCATGTCCTTATACAAGTGTCAACAGTATATGACACTAGTACAGTGGTGACATTGTAGTCAGGTATATTTAAATAGAAGACGTATGTAAAAGAGAAGCATTGGAAATAGTGGTCTTGTGATAACCATGTTGTTTTATTCTTTAGAAATAGGGTTATGCTGCCACTTTCAGGTTATTGGACACTGTCATTCTTGCCAATCTGTTAACATTCAATAAGGATATAAGCTTCCATCCAGATAAAGGAAGGCCTGTGGATGTGGTATACCTGGATTTTGCTAAAGCATTCAAAACAGATCCCCATAAATGCTTAATTTACAAACTGAGGGCTGTAGGCATGGACCATAGGGCTTGTTCATGGATAGAAAACTGGTTACAAGGGCGTGCCCAAAAGGGTGGTGATAAATAGCGTGTATTCAGACTGGTCTGCAGTGGTAAGTGGGGTACCGCAGAGCTCTGTCCTGGGACCAATTCTATTTAATTTATTCATTAATGATATAGAGGTTGGTATAAATAGCTCATTCTCAATTTTTCTGATGATATACAGTAAAGCTAAGTAGGGCAATACCTTCACAGCAGGATATAGAAACTTAACAAGAAGACCTCAAAGTAAAGGAGTTGGCAAATGCATGGCAAATGAGGTTTAATATTGAAAAATGTAAAGTAAAGCACTTGGGAGCTAAAAATACTAACGCAAAATACTCGGTAGGAGAAGAACCTCTGGGGGAATTCAAGATGGAAAAAGATGTGGGGGTCCTAGTCAAAGACAGACACAGCAGTGGCAAGCAATGCCAAGCTACACTAAGCAAAGCTGATTGAATTTTAGCATGCATAAAAAGAAATTTACTCAAGAGATAAGACGATACTCCTGCCACTTTACAAAACTCTGGTTTGGCCACATCTGGAGTATGCCGTCCAGTTCTGGTCACCAGTACTCAGAAAGGATGTGCTAGAACTGGAGAGAGTCCAAAGAAGGGCAACAAAGTTAATAAGGGGACCTCAGTTATGAGGAAAGGGTGGTGTCAGAAAAAAGTATTGAAAGTTTAAAAAAAAAAAAAAAAAAAAAAACTCTTGGATGGGTATCTTAGTGAACACAATATACAGTACAGGGATATGGGATATGAGTTTTTGATATGAACACACACACCCACACAGGTTGAACTGGATGGAATGGTGTCCTTATTCAATTTTACCTACGCAACTATATAAAAAAACAGAACAGGAAACCCCACCCAGGCATAACCCCTCCCTGTAAGGCAATAATTTGGTTTTTGTACACAGTAAGAAGGGCCTGTGTCCCATGATGTACTCCAGCAAAGGATTTTACAGATAAACCAAAAATCCAATTCTCTATATTGAACATCACAGGGCATAGAGGAGGGAAGTTACTAAAACTGGAGCACTCAGAATCTGGTGCAGCAGTGCATGGTAGCCAATCAGCTTCTAACTTCATCTTGTTCAATTAAGCTTTGGCAATAAAAGAAGCTGATTGGTTTCTATGCACAGCTGCACCAGATTTTGCACGCTCCAGTTTTAGTAAATAATCCCCAATGTGTCATTTAGATTAGGGATATGCCAAAGCAATGAATATGAGAGGAAGACAACACAGCAGCCAGACAACAGGTCCCAACCAACTAAACCAAAACAGATTAGAACCGCATTCAGCAATCTTCAAAACACACCGACCAAAGGTAATGTCCTAAGCAGCTCTATCATCCAGTTGGTAAAAACATGAATTGAAGACCAGGTAGCAGTTTCACAAACTTGAGCTACCGAAACTAGATGTCAAATAACCCAAGAAGTAGCGACACACCTGGTAAAAAGAACCATTTGCCAAAAACAGTGGAACTTTGCCCTCTAGACTGTAAGCCTGAGAAATAAGCTGACGGATTCAACGAAAATCAATAGATATGGAAACTGTAAAATCTTTCCTTGAGCTTACCAGAAGTAAAAAAAAAAAAGGAAATGCGACTGACAAAATACTGCAGACTTCAGGTAACATCTGACATGAACCACATTCAAAGAGTAAAGAGTCTTTTCCCTAGAGACTGCAACTTAGGACAGAAGACAGCAGGACAACATCCTAGTTGAGAAGGAAAAAAGAAACCACCTAAGGTAAAAATGACAGCCTAGGCCATAGAACAACCTTGTCAAAGTAGAGTACCAAGAACAGTTCCTTACAGTAAAGAGCAGCTAAAAGCAGAACTCCATGTGCCAACAAATAGGCAACCAATAAAAATAACCTCTTGAGAAAGGACTAAGTAATAGTACCAAGTACTAAATTGAGGTCCCACGAAGTCAATGGAGTCCTGACCGGAGCAACAGTACGTGTTATGCACCAAGGAATGTGAAGCAATTTAACTCTGAAAAAAGCCTGCCAATGAAGAAATCTGACCCTTGCTTGTACACAAGGTCAGCCCTGGATCAACTCCAGATTGTAGAAAGCCAGAAAATGACCCACAACATACTTACGAGGAAGAAAACCCTGGCCTCACACCAAACAAAAAAAAGGATTTCCAAGTTTTGTGACAATCTTCCTTGAAGTCACCTTCTGAGAAAGATCTAAGGGTCGTCCACTGACATGGTCACAAAGTTGGAGAACCAGAAGCTCCTGGGCCAGGCCAAAGTGATCAGAAGCACCAGAATTCCTTCTACTGAGATCCTGTGAAGCAGACAAGTTAGATGTTGTAATGGAGGGAAGGTATACTATAAATTACAGAGAACTGGCCCAACTGTGTCATCAGCACATTTACCACAAACATTGGAGAATCCATGGTCCTGGAGTAGAACCTGTCCAGCTTTGCTTTGAAAATGAACACTGGAAAATCCACATCTGTAGGTGCCCAACCATTGACAGAGTTCCCTGAACAATTCAATGTGAGGAGCCCATTTCCCCCGGAGGCAGTCGTTGATGGCTGCCAGATTTTCCTCGCCTGGAATGTCTACTGTGGACAGTGGAGGAACAAGGAGTTCAGCCCAAGACAGAATAAAGACCCTCCAGCTACACTAATCAATGCAGTAGATCAACAAAAATTGCCCTTAATTCCAGGATTTTTATGGCAATGTCCCCTGCTGTGCTGAACAAGGCACTTGGCTTGAGAAATGCAGAACAGTGCAGAACACTATCCCAGCCCAACAGGCTAGCATCCATCATCAGGACCCTCCAGGATAAAAGGAGGAAAGATTTCCCATCTCCAGCATCTGTGAGGTTGACCAGGCCAGAGATAGTCTTGTGCTTGGGTTTAATACATCAGGGTTTCATACAGTCAAGAAAATTAACTGGAAGGGCCAGAAATGAAACTGGAGAAAAGCACAGCCAGCCTTACAGGAGACTACCATATTCCTCAGAACCCTCATGCACAAGAGAAATTAGGGATTTGTTATAGTCTTGAGCAAGTCTACCTGAGCCCTCAGAGCAGGACCTTTGTCCAGAAGGAGGGTCATTCTCGCCTGGATGGTAACCAAGGTCTGGCCTAACTTTGGGGCTAAGACAGAATCCTGTAAATTCAGAATACCTTCGAACCTCTCTACAGTGTGTACCATGTGAGACACATTGGTCTTCAGCTTAGAAGCAGATTGCTCCCTCAGAAGTTGTCCAGGTATCCTATAATTGGGTTACCTAGGGTAAGCAGGGGCCATAACCTTGATGAACACTGTAGGAGCTGCCAAACCCAAAAACTGCAGAAATCTTTTGTATGGTAGAAAAACAGAACAGGTAGGTAAGCCTCTCTCACATCCAGTGATGACAAGAAAAAACTCCCTGTTGGAGACAGGGCACCTGTTACTGCACTAATTCCATTCAGAACTTCTTCACTTATAGAAACCTTTTGGGTCTCTTGAGATTCAGGATGGGAAAAACATCTCTGTTTGGTTTTTGAACTGTGAAAGGTTGGAGTAGAAACTGTGAAACTTTTGTCCCTCTGGAACTGGAATGATCACACTTAAAATAGAAGATGATCCAGAGCTTCTAAAAGTGCAAATATTTTATGTAGATTTAAAGAAAACATTTGAAAAGTAAAAGCATACAGGGGAAAAGCTTTGAAATTCAAGCTGGTAACCATAAACCACTACACTGCAGTCCCATCGGTTCACAATCTCCGACTACTAAACCTCTAGAGGGCTTATAAAAATTCCCCCATCCAAATGTGTGTAGCCACCCCTTGATTATGTACAGAACATGTTCCCTGGCTGAGCAGGTTTTGAAGTCATGGTTTTTTAAGGAACTGGGTCTGAGTTTTTGGGCTTGGAGCCCAAAAGGCCTGAGATTGGCATAAAGAAGGCTTTCTTTAAGAAGGAGCGGCAGGTTTTTGAACCGTAGTGCTTATCTTCCTCCTCCTAGGCAGTGTCCTGAAGAAGGAAGCATAACCCTAATCATAATGAATATAAAGACATTTTGTGCAGGGGTTTAGCAAACTCCAGTTTTATAGTTTGGAAACCTTTCAATTTGCCCTTATAAAGCAGCTGATACACAAAATTATAGCCCATTGAGGACCAGTAAACTGCACTAGGAACTGCTAATAATTAGGAAAGAGTGGGTTCACAGTTGGAAATCCAAACATAATGTAGGAGTTTAAGGGATGTGTTAAAGCAAAACTATACTCATCTCGTCTCAAGTGACACGGCATCCCAGAACTCTCCACCTGGCCACTGAAATCTTCTGGCGGCCAGATTTTACTGGCCAGGCGGGCATGACATCACTCCCGGGTATGCACAGGAGTCCAGCCAGATCATTAGGGACTGTCATGCCAGCTTGTTTGAATGGAATCTGGAGGGTAGTAAGAGATTCTAGGAGGGCGTTGGTTCAACATGAACGAGGAGCATAGAGAGTTTGTTTGTTGAAAGTATTTTTGAGCTATGGCACGGGGAGTTTTCTAAAGTATCAAAAAATTCAGAATTAAGTGCATTTTAATAAGATCAACGTGACCCAGTAGATCTAATGCCAAGGACATCCATAATTTAGTTTTGGTGAAGGGTGTTTCTTTAAAAGATTGTTAGATAAGTATTGTGAGATTGGAGCCTGAATGAGAACACCAACATATATGGACCTATGTCCTATTTTAAGTTGGGCTGAATACTGAGAGTAGTATCAGAGTCCAGGGGAAAAAGCAGGGATTTTTCCCAATTAGGTGGTTAGCAGTTTCTAGATTAGCACTTAGTGGTAAGCACTTCTGCCTTGCAGCACTGGGGTCCTTGATTGCAATCTGCATGCAATTTGCATGTTCTCCCTGTGCTTGCATAGGTTTCTTTCAGCCACTCAGGTTTCCTCCCACATTCAAAAGATAAGCAGGTAGGATGGCCTTAGTACATGCATATAATGTATGAATGCATGCGAGATAGGGTCATTAGATCTTACACTCTTTGAGGGCAGGGACTGAACATTATGTAAAGTGATGAGTAAAATGTTGGCACAATATAAATGACTGCAATAAATAAAATGACTAGACTGGATTCTGCTCTAAAATGACTTCCCAGCCTTCAGCAAGCAATGTTTTTGAAAAATTATTCAGTAGGAGGATACATTCTTCTAAATAATGGATCTGAAAACTAAACTCAGTACACACTATGCAGTTTTAAGATGCATACAGCAAAAGTTGACTTACGCGATTAGCAAAATTTCGCAAATCCAAAGTAATGGCATACATGATAGGCAAGGCCCTAAAAAATATCACATACACAGTGTAAGACAATAAATCTGCAAATGCTGTACAATTATTACAAATTATTTAGTCTGGGTGCATTTGGAAATAATTATGAAAATTCAGCCACACATTCAGAGAGTAGTGATTAATGAGTCATACTCTAAATGGTCTAAGTTTATTAGTGATGTAACCCAATATTCAGTGTCTCCAACTTGTAAGCTGACCTAAATGCACTATTTAATTGGGCAACAACCTGGCAAACGAAGTTTAATGTTGATAAAAGTTATACACTTTGGGGATAAAAACATGTACACATAATACATTTAGGGAGGAGAACAACTGGGGGAGTCAATGGCTGAGAAGGATCTGGGTGTTCTGGTAGATCACAGACTTAATAATAGCATGCAATGCCAATCTGAAGTTTCTAAAGCTAGCAAAACATTTAAATAAGTATAGATTCTAGCAAGAGAGAGACATAATTTGCCCCTGTACAAATCACTGGTAGGATCTCATCTAGAATATAAAGACTCACTAATGGGCACAGATGTCCTTGGTTATGAGTATAGTAGCCAGAACATATATAAAGGTCAATGTCACAAGCTGCTCGAATGACAACCAGGAGCAGTGTGTTGTAGGACAAAAAAAAAAAAATCTAAAAAAAAAAGAGCACTATGGATAAAGACCACTAGATGGTGCTAGTTCCATTGGGATATCTTGATACAGCCCCAATATTATCAGCAAACACATGTAATCCAATAATTGTAAAATACAGAAGTTTAATAATACATTATTTAATAAATTTCTATTTTTTACACTTATTGGATTACATGTGTTTGCTGATAATATTGGGGCTGTATCAAGATATCCCAGTGGAACTAGCACCATCTTGTGGTCTTTATCCATAGCGCTCTTTTTTTTAGATTTTCTAAGATTTTCTCATCTAGAATATGCAGTTCAGTTTTGGGTATCAATTCACAAAAAGGAAGTGCAAAAAAGAGCAACCAAACTAATCAGAGGCATGGAGGAGCTCTGCTATGAGGAAACATCAGCTGAACTTAATTCATTATCTCTTAAAGGGGCAATTAAGGGGGATGTGATCACCATGCATAAATAAATAAGTAATACTTTCAGGCCATTACAAGGGGTACTCTAAGTCTGGAGGAAAAGAGGCATAACCTTCACATACAGAAAGGCTTCTTCACAGTAAGAGATGTGAAAATGTGCAACAGATTCCCTCAAAACCTAGTTCTGGCCAGCTCAGTAGATTTTTTTTTTTTTTAAAGCAGCTTGATGCATTCCTAAATGCAAAACAATAAAAATATTTAGTTTTTTTTTTTTAATGGTTGAACTAGATGGACTTGTGCCTTTTTCAGCATATGTACAAAATATGTTTGCGAGTTGTTAATCCACTTTTAAGTACACTCCTTAAGATTTAGCAATGTTTCTCAACCGCTTCAAAAAAAAAAATTATCTGAAGTTTTGTGGTCACAAGCTCTTGTTGATTTCTCCTGAATAAAAAAAAAGGGGTATAAAAGGTAACTTTCACAAATTATTCAGAAACATCAAAAGAAAAAATTTTATTTACCAGTTTTCTTCTTTATGTGCCTGAAATATTCTCAAAAATGATGTAAAATATGTTAAGTCAAACAACTCAAAATTGATTTTGAAAAAAGTTTCACATGTGGCAATAAAGGTCATGGTAAATACATACGTTTAAAACAATTACTAGAAAGCTATTTTGAAACATGTTATGTATTGATGGCTACTAACATCACATTCAACAGCACAATACAGGAAACTTTCTAGTCTTCAAGAGCACCATAACACCAACACTAAGGTATACACTCACTGGCCACTTTTACACCTTGCTAGTACCACGTTGGACCCACTTTTGTCTTCAGAACTGCCTTAATTCTTCATGGCATAGATTTAACAAGGTGCTGGAAACAATTCTCAGAGATTTTGGTCCATATTGACATGATAGCACAACACAGTTGCTGCAGATTTGTCAGATGCACATCCATGATGCGAATCTCCCGTTCCACCACATCCCAAAGGTGCTCTATTGGATTGAGATCTGTTGGCTGTGGGGGCCATTGGAGTACAGTGAACTCTTTGTCATGTTCAAGAAACCAGTTTGAGATTATCTGAGCTTTGTGACATGGTGCATTATCCTGCTGGAAGCAGCCATAGAAGATGGGTACACTGTAGTCATAAAGGATGGACATGTTCAGCAACAATAGTCAGGTAGGCCATGGCATTTAAACAATGCTTAATTGGTACTAAGGGGCTCAAAGTGTGCCAAGAAAATATCCCCCAGACCATTACACCACCACCAGCCTGAGCCACTGATACAAGGCAGGAAGGATCCATGCTTTCATGTTGTTTACGCCAAATTCTGACCCTACCATCTGAATGCCACAGTCATCAGACGAGGTAACATTTTTCCAATGTTCTATTGTCCAATTTTTGTGAGCCTGTATGAACTGTAGCATCCGTTTCTGTTCTCTTAGCTAACAGGAGTTGCGCCTGGTGTGGTCTTTTGCTGCTGTAGTCCATCTGCTTCAAGGTTCGATGTGTTGTGCATTCAGAGATGTTATTCTGCATACCTTAGTTGTAACAAGTGGTAATCTGTTACTGTTGTCTTTCTATCATCTAGATCCAGTCTGCCCATTCTCCTCTGACATCAACAAGGCATTTTTGCCCACACAACTGCTGCTCACTCGATATCTTCTCTTTTTCGGACCATTTGTAAAACCTAGAGATGGTTGTGCATGAAAATACCAGTAGATCAGCAGTTTTGGAAATATTCAGACCAGCCCATCTGGCACCAACAAACATACCATATTCAAAGTCACTTAAATCCCCTTCTTCCCTATTCTGATGCTCGTTTTGAACCACAGCAAGTCGTCTTCACCATGTCTAGATGCCTAAATTCATTCAAGCAATTGAACAGGTGTACCTAAAAAGAGGCCGGTGAGTGTATAAGTCAAGGTGTGTGTGTATATACACATATATATGTATAAATATATACATACATACACACACACACACACACATAGTCACTGTACTGAAACTATTGCCATTTCTTTCAAAAATGTGAAAAATTAACCATGTTTTGTTACCCAAACTGGAAAACAGGAACAAAAACAGCTATTTTTTCATATTAAACCATTCTTCGTTTTCATCCGTTTCCATTAAAAGGATATTGGACTACTACTGTTTGATATTTGTAAGCTTCAACAAAGTCATGGTTGGAAACAGCATAGGTGCACCTAATTGTAAGGAAAATAAAGTAGGTTATTTGTTTATGCAGTTCTACACATATGCCGACGAAAAGAGCACAGTTTAGCACTCATGGACATCTATGTATGGTACCAGTCTTCTCACAGCTTCCTGATACTCCCTGGTATACTCAGTATCCCAATCATTCTTTCTCTCTTATTTAAACTAGGTGCTGGTGATTGGGGTATTAACATTCTAAAGCTATTGGTGGCTTGTGAAGTAGTGGTTGAGCTGTTATAGCAATCTCTGGGGCACAGAGTAATGATTGGTGTTACCACTAGTACATTATTTAAAAAAAAAAAAAAAACCTTAGATAGCCATATTTGTATTTAAGTGTACAGTGCTGTGAAAAAGTATTTGCCCCCTTCTTGATCTTTTTTTTTTTTTTTTTTTTTTTTTTTTACATATTTATCACACTTAAATGATTCAGATCATTAAACAAATTTTAATATTTTACAAAGAAAAATACAAAATTCAGTTTTTAAATGATGATTTCATTTATTAAGGGAAAAAAGCTGTCCAAACCTGTCTGGCCCTATGTGAAAATGTAATTGTGCCACTCCTTGCTAAACCATGCATTAACTTTGATTAACCACTTTTTTTGGAAAGCTGAATAAAATGTTACTTGCCAAACAGGCCTGATTACTGCCAGAGCTGTTGAATCAAGAAACAGAAGTTGTCTGATAAAGTGAAGCACGTTAAAAGATTTTGGAAAGCAACACACCATCCCGCAATACACAGAAATTCAAGACCAGTTGAAAAACAAAGTAAATTACATCAGTATCAGTCTGGAAAGGGTAACAAAGCCATTTCTAAGCTTTGGGACTCCAGTGAACCAGAGTGAGAGCCATTATCCACAAATGGAGAAAATGTGGAACAGCGGTGAACCTTTCCTGGAGTGGCTGGCCTACCAAAATTACACCAAGAGCAAAACGATAACTCATCCAAAAGGTCATAAAAAAACCCAGAACAACTTCTAAAGAACTACAGGCCTCACTTGCCTCAGATAAGGTCAGTGTTCATGATTCAACAATAAGAAAGAGATTGGGCAAAAATAGAATCCATGGGAGAGTTCCAAGGATAAAGCCACTGATGACCAAAAAGAACACAAAGGCTTGTATCACATTTGCTAAAAATCATCTTGATTATCCTCAAGATTTTTGGGCAAATATTCTGTAGACTGATGAGACAAAAGCTGAACTGTTTGGAAGGTGTGCATCCTGTTACATCTGGTGACACAGCTTTTCATAAAAAGAACATCATACCAACAGTCAAACATGGTGGTGGTAGTGTGATGGTCTGGGGCTGCTGTGCAGCTTCACGACCTAGAAGACTTTCCATATTTGATGGAATCATGAATTTTGCACTCTACCAGAAATTCATGAAGGAGAATGTCCAGCCATCAGTTCGTGACCTCAAACTCAAGCGCACTTAGGTTATGCAGCAAGGAGTTTGTGGGGGCAATTACCATTTCACATAGGGCCAGGCAGATTTAGACAGCTTTTTTCCATTAACCACATCCAGTCTGGCCTATAGCAATTTGATCACCGGGCGGGACTTTCGTCGTTCTGGGTGGACATCCTGGAACGAGCTGCATTGTGGGCATGACTGATCAGTGTACCGGCCCGCTGTCGGTACCATGTGATCACTGTGACCAATCACAGCAGACCATATGACAATTGTAAACAATTAATTGCTTTTATTCATGCCATTCATTGTTACAATTGTGTTGTTAGCTGTGATTGGTCACAGTGATCATATGGAACAGATAGGGCCAATCACAGCCCATCTGTACCATGTGATTAGCTGTGGCCAATCATGGATACTCACAACAAAACAATGGTAACATTATATTGTACTGGTCACAGTGAGTTAAAAAAAATGTAAAGAAAGAAAAATGTAAGAAAAATAAAATTTTAAAGATTAAAAAAAAAATAATAAAAGTAACATTTTTTATACTGTCATCAGTCAGTGTCCCTGATCACCACCACACCAGTCATTTGGGGGGTATTTGTACTATCTTGAAATTTTGGGCCTCAAGAAATGAGACAGTACATCAGGATGGACTGATCTTAAGATATTTACCATAGTTTGTGGACTTTCCTACAGACTAAATAATAAACACTGATGTGGGTTATTTTCACCAAAGAAATGTAGCAGAATATATTGAAAGAAATGTAGCAGAATACATTTTTGCTAAATTTATGAAAAACTATTATTTATTTGAAAATGTTTATAACAGAAATGAAGAAAAACACTTTTTCTGTAAAATGTTTTGTTTATTTAGCAAAAAAAATAAAAACCTAGCGGTGATTAAATACCACCAAAAAAAAGCACTAATTGCGTGAACAAAATTACAGAAATGTAGTTTGGGTACAGCATTGCATGACCGCGCAATTGTCATTCAAAGTGTGATGGCGCTATAAAAGGTGAAAATTGGCCTGGGCAGGAAGGGGGAAATAGTGCCCGGTATTGAAGTGGTTAATAAATGAAATCATTTTAAAAAAGCTGCATTTTTATTTATGTGGGTTATCTGTAGATTAAAATTTGTTTGATGATCTGAACTATTTAGGAGTGACAAATATGCAAAAACATTTTTTTTTTTCAAATACACAAAACTAAAGTTGGAACACGGTTCCAACAAGGCTGAATGAGGACCTGAATCAAAATAACAGAAGATTTGCTATGTTAAAAGGGAACCTTTAGAAATGTTAATGATGCCTAAGAACTACGCTGAAAATGTACCCTCAAATTCCTCCTGAAAAAGAGCAATGTATTTCCTGGTTTATAAGTGTCTTGAGCCTCAGCTGTGTAGCTACAGTTTGAGAGTAAAGACACTGCTGCCTCTTCTTGGTAATCTCACCAGATTTGGTGAGGATACTGCTGTGCTGCTAAGCGCTCTCCCTGCTGGAGGCTATGACAGGAGGAAGCAAAAGCCGTACGACTAGATGCAGGGAGACCACAAGCAGTACTGGCTATTAGTCCTTTGCCTCAGTCTGCCTTTTTGGGCACAGCTTCCAGAGTGCAGTTCCTCTTGAAAGCTATGGTTTCTGCAATAGAGTCTATGGCCTGGAAGCTGAGCTAACATAGTAATCATAAGATTACAAACCACTATGATTTCTTCTCAAATGTTGGTGGGGACCACACAGAGATTAGGCGCAAGCCACTGAAGAAAGCATTGGTTGCTGATCTTCAAATGGAAGATCCTCAGCATGGGCACAATGCTGGGGAATGTTAATATACACCAACTGTGGTCAGGAAGGTGTAAAATGTAGGTATTGCAGGAGGTTGGAGTTGCCACCTACAGGATTCGGTGCAACACCTGAATAACACCTCCAGAAATAATCAGTAAGTTATACCACTGACATTTCTATAGTATATTGTAAGACAGACAGACAGATAGATATTGAAACACATACTGTTCACTCTTGGACAGCCCAGTGACAAGATCACTTTACACATCAAAATAATTCTTTGCTATGTTAATTTTATGCAAGGTCACCTTGGTATTTGGAGACTAGCCTGTTTATCTAATTAGACATTTCAAAGGGTTTACATGTTTAAGGTAAAGAATGTGATTTGACCATACAAGAAGTATTTATGGATAGTGATTAGACTCAAAGGGCTATTCATGGGAAATGGTGAAAGTGTGCCTTGTTTACCTGGTAAACACTATAATGACCTCAATTGTTTACAATAATAGCAAATGAAGTCTTTTCATGTTAAGATCAAAAGTGTTTTGTCAGTCAATGAGAAACCCCTCCAGCTTTGCTTATTGATAGTAAACTGTATATGTTCCTCTTAGATTGTAAGCTCCAAGGAGCAGGGCCTTCCTAACCCTCTTGTATTGAACTGTATTGTCTCCCGTTATATTGTAAAGCGCTGAGCAAACTGTTGGTGCTATTTAAATCCTGTATTATAATAATAATAATATGAAGGGCAGTTCTTTGGCAGGTAGGGGAGCTTCTTTCTTTCATTAATATGGAAGCACAGGTATAGATCATATTTTGCATTATTGCATGCATGGAAACTACCTAGGTGCATATTATAGATTGGACATATGCTGGACGGTGTAGTATCTCCATGTTTGATATCAAGTATCTTAAATGAGACTCTGAGGGCTATTGTTCGTTGTAATATTTACAAGTATTTTGCTGAATTTTTGTCATCTGTTGCAAATATATTTTGGACTATTGTGGAGCCGAATAAAAATGTCTTTCTCTGGATGAGTTGCTGCGGGAAATTTCATTTCTTGGATAATTTATATAGGACTACAATTTCGATCAACTGGCTTGCAATATATACACCTTCCTTAGGTTGTGATTGGAAGAAGCAATGTCTCCGACATAACTTTCCACCTGTCAGCTGACATCCTGTTCTGCTCATCAACGCCTCTTTGCCTGGCACTGGGCCATGAAATAGCATGTTCCTACCTCGAGCCAGGTTCTCAACATGGGACTGACTGTGAAGAGATTTAAAGTTGCAATGAGCAACGTGGAGGTTCTTGCTCTTTGTAGTGTTAAGTGTTAATGTATTATGCTTTGCGAGTCCACAGGTTTTGAAAAAACTATATAAAAAATTCCTATTTAATACTGTAAAAAATAATTTCCAACAATATATAACCCAAAAATATGATTATAGGATACGGTGAAGTTTTTTTTAAAGGATCCTTTGCTAACACACATTTTTCTGGACAAATTGACCAAACCTAACTAAGGCTCCTTTCATACTCATCTGTTTTTCTTCAGCTTCTGCATTAAAAAAAGTGGAAGAAAAACATAAGACCATGTATTCCTATAGAACTCTTCACGTTCGCTGATCCGTTGTGGGTCAGGTGCTTTTTTTTTAAAATCCTGCTTGCTGCATTTTTTTGTGTGCAGGTTTGGTGCTGTAAAAAAAAAAAAAAAAAAAAAAAAAAAAACGCACCTCTCCATTGAAATCAACGGAAAACGCATCAAAAAAGCACTGTTTTTGAATCACATGGCCTGTAAAAATCGCTGTAAAAAATACGTTTTTGCCGCAATTTTGCTAGGATCAGTGTGAAACCAGCCTAAGCTCCCAAAGGCAGCTATTACAAAATCTGGCACCATTGCAATAACAACAGCTTGGTCAACTAAAAGGCCTGAGTTTAAACATTAACAACTTTGTGCAAAACAAATCAGTACCTTAGGTGAGCTGCAAACATCTCATCATAAGGAGGTTCCAGCATCTGCTGACACTTATCCTCTGGAGAAGGCAGCTAAAATATATGAAGATAAATAAAATAAATAAATCTATATAATAGAATGTAGGTTACATACAAAAGATACCCTACTGACAGACACATTTTCATATTAGTGCTTGTACTAAATTGAAGACAAATAAAAACATAAATATCTTAGATATAGAAAAGGGCTTTCCAAATGAGGATTAGGCTTCATGCACATTGGGCAAAAAAAAAAATTGCTGGTTTTGGATTTTTTTTCTTCATCCTGAATAAGCAATTCTATGTTAGCCTATTTGTCTATGCACATTTGGGCGTTTACAGGCATATTTACAGAGGAGCGTTTTTAGAATGAAAGAAAAAAAAAACAAAAAAAAAAAAAAAAAACAAAACTGCGTTTTTGAAAAGAGCGTCTGGACGGAAAACCGCTTGACACACACAAACACACACCTAAATGTGGTGTGGTTTAGGAGAATTTGGAGTTTTCAAGCTAGGTTATAAATGTATACATAATGTAAATTACAGGTTATGTACACAAATCAGGCTTCTATGTGTTTTTAATTCTAAGTCAATAAATTATGTTAAAAAGTCGGTTGCCCTGGTAAGTGATATTTATTGACGGACATAGGGGGCGTTTTACTAAAACTAAAGCGTGCAAATCTGGTGCAGCTCTGCATAGAAACCAGTCAGCTTCAAGGTTTTATTGTCAAAGCTTAAAGTGGAGTTCTGACCCCCCCCCCCCGAAAAAAATTAAAAATCAGCAGCTACAAATACTGTAGCTGCTGACTTTTAATATTAGGGCACTTACCTGTCCAGGGATCCAGTGGTGTCCTCACCACAAGCCGATTCTTTAATCGGCTGTTGGGTGCTGGCGCCACCACCTTGACTTAGAGAAACCTGCAGTAAAGTGCTTGCGGCTCCACAGCCGGTTACCTACTGCGCATGCGCGAAGCGCACTGCACTTTGTGAATGGGCCGCAGTCCACTGGGACCTGTGAAGTGTGCCAGAGGGTTGCAGGGGGGGGATGTGCAAACTTCTGGCTCAGTTTGCTGCAACAAACTGAGCTGGAACTGGGAGTAGGGTCCTGTCGAAACCAAGCACCCGCTCCTCCCTCCCCCCATAACTGTGCTAAGTGTAGCAGCAGAAGGGGGGGGTAGGAAGAACAGCAGAGCTTCCACTTTTGGGTGGAACACCGCTTTAACTGAACAAGCTGAAGTTAGAAGATGATTGGCTACCATGCACAGCTGCACAAGATTCTGAGTGCTCCAGTTTTGGTAAATCTCCCAAATGGTGTGTATAGCCACTGAAAGAAAGACTTTTTGGTTTAACAAAATAAAATAATATCTTTTTCAAATAATCCCTCTACCACACTCCCATCATCTCCCCTCATACATAAAATAATACAAAATCGTGTATATATAAATGTCCAAATACAAGTCCATACAAAATACTCTTCCAAGTGTTGAGAACTAATCCACTTTGTTGCTTTTCAATCCAGGATACCTCAAAAAAATATATAAACTAGATATAGTGCATTATCTTTAAACAAAGAAAACACTCGTGACACTTAAAGTGACTCCTCCTAAACCCCCACTCGTGACAAACCAACACTTCAACTTGTGATTTGTGCAAAAATCCAAAAAATCCAAGGGTACCCTTGTGAAAAAAATCGGAAGTGACGAAACGCGTCAGAACGTAAGGACGCGACGTCAGAACGTCAAACCGGAAGGAGCGGCGCGGCCATCTTGGACACTGGAGTTCAGTCATACGAACTGTGGGAGAGGATGGACGTTGGTGTTATCTAATGTAAGATTTTAAATAAATGTATGGATTCCTTTTATATACTTCACTGAGTATTGTATTCTCTGCCCCTCTGAGGAGTGGGGAAGTTCGGATTGGGAGCATCAGGAAAAGGGGATATTTTGGATTACCCTGGAGGAGTCTTATGCCTATCTATATTGAAAGAGGGTAATGGTATATTATCCTACAAGAGTTATGGCACTACCTACTTTTGACGCATGTGATCATGAGTAGTTTGATGTGGAGTTTGCATTATCCATGAGAGGGTAATGGTATTTACTACATCTGAATGGTGCCACTGGCTTTGGATTTTTGCACAAATCACAAGTTGAAGTGTTGGTTTGTCACGAGTGGGGGTTTAGGAGGAGTCACTTTAAGTGTCACAATTGTGTTTTCTTTGTTTAACCATTTCAATACCGTGCAATTTTACACCTTCCTGCCCAGGCCATTATTCAGGTTTCAGCGCTCTCACACTTTGAATGACAATTGCGCAGTCATACAACACTGTACCCAAACTAAAATTTTATCATTTTCTTCACACAACTAGAGCTTTCTTTTGGTGGTATTTAATCACCGCTGGGGTTTTTATTTTTTGCTAAATTAACAAAAAAAGGCCAAAAATTTTGAAAAAAATACACGTTTTTCTTTGTTTCCGTTATAAAAATTTACAAATAAATAATTGTTCTTCATAAATTTAGGCCGAGATGTGTTCTGCTACATGTCTTTGGTGAAAATAACCCAAATTAGGATGTATTATTTAGTTTGTAGGAAAGTTATAGAGTTCACAAACTATGGTATAGATCTGATTATTGATCAATCCTGAAGTACTGACGGCCAATCTAATTTCTTGAGGTCTAAGAATGTCAGAACAGTACAGATATCCCCCAAATGACCCCTTTTTGCAGAGTAGACAGTCCGACGTACTTCATAAGAGGCATGGCGAGTTTTTTGAAGTTGTATTTTTTTTTGTCATAATTTTTCGGAAAATTAAAAAATTAAAAAAATTATTTTCACTATTTTTTTTTTACATACTGTCACCAGTGCAGTACAGCGTCATCATATAACTGGCATGGCGGTGAACAGGGACACTGACTGGTGACAGTATGAAAAAAAAATATATATATATATTTTTTTTTTAATTTTTATTTTTTATTACTTTTTTTTAACATTTTTTTTTTTCATATTTTACTATGACCAAAGTAGTACAATGTTACCATAGCAACATTGTACTACTTTGGGGAAGTGATCAGTATTTTTTTTTTTTACACAATTTGCTTATAGCAAAGAAATACTTTGCTATAAGCAAGCATTTACCTGAATGAAATGGATTCATTCAGCTTTTTTTTTTTTTTTGTGCTTAGCTGTGATTTGGTCACAGCTAATCACATGACATGTGCATGTGATTAGCTGTGACCATTCACAGCTAGGCACTAGTATACAATGGATGGCATCATGAATGAAGCCATCCATTGTATACAACTGTCATGTGACCTGCTGTGATTGGTCACAGCAGGTCACATGGTACCTGCAACGGAGCCGGTACTCGGATCTGTCATCGGCCGTGTCCGAGGTACACGCCCGTGACAGATCGAGCCGCTGCGCCGCTCTGCATTAGCGCAAACGGCGCATGTGCGGGAGCACGCCAAATGGCGTGCACCCGGAGTGGAGAAGCAACTTTCAAGCCGCCAAACGGCCATTGGCCGGGCGGCAAATGGTTAAAGATAATGCACTATATCTAGTTTATATATTTTTTTGAGGTATCCTGGATTGAAAAGCAACGAAGTGGATTAGTTCTCAACACTTGGAAGAGTATTTTGTATGGACTTGTATTTGGACATTTATATATACACGATTTTGTATTATTTTATGTATGAGGGGAGATGATGGGAGTGTGGTAGAGGGATTATTTGAAAAAGATATTATTTTATTTTATTTACACTTTCTAGGGTGAGAGTGGTACTTTTTGTAGGGACAAATAGAGTTTAAATTTACATTTTTGGTTTAACAGTTTTGTTCAACTATAGCAGTCTAAGAATTTATACATGAACAGATTTCTTTTAAATCAAGTAAAAACAGGAGCATTGCTGGAATGTGCATAGTAATTGTTCCTTCTTTAGCAGAAGATTATTGAGTTACCAAAATGATAATCATTTTAACAAATATTGGAGAAAAAAACAAAACCATCAGGACAAAATAATTAGTATTACAGTATGCACCATGAATCATAAGTGTATACTAAGGGTAAAGAGATAATGTTTTCTTACCTGTAAGCGTGGATTTGCAATATGTGGATGTCTGAATGAAACCATGTCTGCACAGTTAAAGCCATTTTTCATTTCAATAGCCTCCAAAACCTATATTAAACATGTCAACGTTAACTACAGCAGCACCATATTCACATTTCTTACAGAACACAAAAGATAGTTGTGTATTCAAAGCCAAATTAAATATCACAGGAGACGGGGTCATAGTTTCCAAGTCGATCTACAATATAAGTTGCATTTCTTCTTACATGTGCCCTTGGTAGACATTATAAAAAAGGTACCCATGAGGCAGCACTGTGGTTAAATGGTTAGCACTTCTGCCTGGCAGTACAAGGGTCATTGGTTCGAATCCCAACCACGGCACCACCTGCCTGGAGTTTGCATGCTCTCCCTGTACCTGCGTGGGTTTCTTCCGGGTAGTGAAGTTTCCTCCCCACATTCCAAAGACATGCTGGTAGGTTAATTGGATCCTGTCTAAATTGGCCCTAGTATGTGTATGTATGAATGTAAATTAGGGACCTTAGACTGTACACTCCTTGAGGGTTAGGGACTGATGTGAATGTACAATATGCATACAGTACGTAAAGCGCTGCGTAAATTGACGGGGCTAGATAAGTACCTGAAATAAATAAAATAAATACAAAGCTGCAAACCCAATAGATAACACTCAAATGCTTTTTTTGCAGCCCTGTTGACGTGTTGCCTAATTTCAGGGAGAGCTGGAGAGATTTAAAACGTCAAACAATAAATGTATTTGGTACACCTCTGCAATACATGCACATTTCCCCATGTTTTCCTCTTTAGAAAATGCTGCAAGATTACAAAAAAAAAAAAAAAAAACTTACCTGCTGATCTGTCAGAAAATATGTGAGCTCCTAACTTCCAGTATTCAGCAGACAACACCATCTCTGCTATACTGAAATCACAGCAGAGTTATCAGTCCTGCCTAAAGTGGTTCTTAAGGCAGAAGGTTTTTTACCTTAAACTTCTTCCTGACACCTGATGATCAGTGGAGGAGAAAATAATTTATAACTTTTATAAGAGAAACTAAGAAAAACTCTTTATTTTACAAACTTTTTGGTAGTTTTTTTTTGCTTGTTAAGCAAAAAAAAAAAAAAAAAAAGTGATTAAATACCACCAAAACAAAGTTCTATGTGTCTCAAAAAACAAGCAAATGATAAAAATTTTGTTTGAATACAGTGTTGCATGACCACGCAATTGTCATTCAAAGTGCGACAGCACTAAAAACTGAAAATATGCCTGGGCAGGAAGGGGGTGAAAGTGCCCGGTATTGAAGTTGTTAAAGGCTAAGTTCGCTTTTTTTTTCAAAATTCCAGCTTCCTTATGTACCAATATAGCATTAATATGCTTTTTTGCAAAAAGGATGAAGCGATATATATTATTTCACACCAGCACTAGGCATCAGTGTGATCTATGGAGAACTTTTCCATTACTTCCTGGACGGACCTTAGTTTGGGAAAACCAGTGTGACACAGGACGTAATTCACCAGCTGACCTTATTAACATACACCATGCCACTGCCTTCCCTACTCCAGGAGATCAATCACACTCAGCTCCATAGGTGCACACAAATCTAATACAGTGACCACCATTCTCACTAAAATCTCAGGCATAATTGTTTTTTTTCTTACCTTCATATTGCATAGATCATTCATTTGGCAGAGTGGGCGATCAGATAACAGTCTATGTGGAGCAGAGCTGTAGTACTGAAAACAGGAGAAATATGTCCTGGAAGTCTGTACAGCTCACCATACATTATACAGTCTGATTGTACAGATCTACCATTAACTATGTAGTGCACGGGCCTGACTGATTGGATACAAAGTGATTGGATAGAAGGTGTGTCCTCCCTCCTAGATTGTAAGCTCTAACGAGCAGGGCGCTCTGTTTCTTCATTGTACCAAACTGTATTGTAACTGTAATGTCTACCTTCATTTTGTAAAGTGCTGCGCAAACTGTTGGCGCTATATAATCTCTGTATAATAATAATAATAATATTAAACAGTTTTGGTAAATCTAAAGGGGATTGTACAGAGATTGTAAAATCAGACTGTATAGCGTATGGCCATCTTTACCTAAAATGAACTAGTTGCACTTTCGGCCATTATTTGTCAACAGCATTCCAAATGCACAAGCAAACACATTTTGCCAAGTGAAAAAACGAGTGACAAACACAGCAAATCGCAAGGTAAAAAACATGCAAATCACAAGGTAAAAAACGTGCAAACCGCACCACACCAAAATATTTAATGAGCTATTTTGCATGTGCAGAGCAACACATTGAAATCAACGGGCTGCTCTATGCATGTCGCAGCAAAAATAAGCCATAAAATGTGCTACGGTACGCTAGGTGTCATTGGGGCCTGAAAGTGAAATTGGTGTGTTTATACAAGAACAATGAGGCTCCATTCACATCTGTGTGTTTCCAAATGCATGGCAAACTGCACAGAAAATGCGCGCTTTGCCATGGGTTTCATGCTGCAAATGTGCATCATGTTTGTGTTGACATTACATGTTAAAGACACCCCAAGTGCAGAAACGTACCAAAAACTGCAGTAATGCACCATGCTCCGCTCCAAAAACAATTCTGGAGCTTCTCTGGAGTGATTGTTGCACATAGGGCAGCCCATTCAAGTGAATAAAGAGCTCTATGCATGTTAAGTGAAAACACCCCAAAACACCCAAAAACCTCATGGGGGAATGTGAGTTTTCAATACGCGGAGAAGTGAGCAGGACCTGATGGACTACGTGTCTCCATCCACTCCCTCATATGTACTTGTCTAAAGATGGCCATACACTATATAATCTGATTGTACAATCTCTATACAATTTCCTTCAGATTTACCAGAACTATGGAATAGGACTTACCTGACCAATCCATTCAATTTGTGAATTGTGAATGAGTAGAAGTTAGTATTGTAAGGAGTGAGGTGTGGTCCAGAGTGGTGAACATACCCTATCACACCCTCTTCTTTGATGCAACAAGGAAGTGAATGCTTCCAGGAGATGACCTACAGGAAGTGAATGCTTTGAGACTATCTACAGAAAGTGATGGAATCTGAAAATCATTTAAAAAAATTCAAATAAACTGATAAGATTTTTAACCTCCCGAGGTTAGGTTAAGTGAGAGAAAAGCACATTGGGATGGCAGGGCCAGAAATGGCATTGGAAAATGCTTCCATGTATTATGAAAGTGAAATTCTGTCAGAAAAGGTGAACTTATTTATTGTATTCTATGCATTAAGGTAAAAAAACCTTCTGGTTACAGCTCCCCCTCCCCAGTCTCCCCTTATACCTACTGGAGCCTCATCCTGATCCAGTGATGTGTACAAGAGCAACAGCTTTCCCAGATCTCTGTCTCCTCATTGGCTCACACAGCAGTGGGAGCCATTGGCTCCCGCTGCTGTCAATCACAATCAGTGAGCCCTTCAAGAGAGGGAGGACCGGGCCACACTGTGTGTGGGAATAGATAATGTCTATTCACAGGAGGGCAGCTTGGGAGTGAGCCTGCTCGAGTGCCCCCATAGCAAGAAGCTTGCTATTGGGGGCACACAGCAGGGGTGAGGGGCCAGGAGCAATGGTGGGGGACCTGAGAAGATGAGGATTGGGGCTGCTCTGTGCAAAACCATTGCACAAAGCAGGTGAGTATGACATGTTATTTAAAAGAACAAACAAAAAAAAAAACCAAGCCTTTAGCATTACTTTAAGTTCCCTCCCGTGGACTACAGAACCCTCCCCCCAAAGTGTGCATCCATGGCAACGTTGCGAGATTTCTATAGAAAGTGAGGACCCCCCCCCCTCCTCCTGCAATATATGGCCTGTTATCTCAACTTAGGGACAGCACACAGGCCTTGGTCAGAGCAGTAAACAGCTAATTGAGTACTGGCAGAGTGCCTGTTTCTTCGTACAAGAAAAAAACTCTACAGATTAACACTTCCCTCTGACCTATCGTAAAACAATGACAAAATCTGTCCATTCTTTCATACATGATGTGTAGGGCAATTAAAGCACTAGGAACACATAGCATGCCATAAAACGTCTACACAGAAAGTAGCCAGGCATGAGCGACCTCTCTGAGACTTCTGCCCAATTCACAACTTCCTTCAACAAAATCCACACAACCATTCACAAAATCCAACAGGATCCAGACACATTTATACTGGAAATATCAAACTGAACAAATCAAGGTCGTACATGACTAAGCTAGCACATACAAAAAGGGAGAAAGCAGTCTCCTCCCTCCTGGGTGACAGACCCATCCGAAATACTCTGTGTTTGGTATCCCTGGGCATGAAACATAATGCTGAACAATACTCTACCAGTTTCCAGAATGCAACCTGTACGTAGTGGATAATATTAGTATAAAACTGTGTATAAATATGGGAAAATGTGTATGCACATTTTGCAGAGATGCACTGCATATGCTGCTTTATTTTTTTTTTTTAATTATTTTTATCTCCAGCCACACACCTCTAATATTCTGTAGATGTATTACAATTTCAAAATGTTTGTAATACCGCCTTAAAAAATTTTTGGTAGATTTCCTGCCTTTAGATAATTTCTAACAATTAAAGGCTTCTGCACTGCATGAACTATCTTTAATCAGAAAATACTACAAGGTATTATTAAAAAGAATATTGTGCTATTTTTTTTACATCTGATTATTATTTTGACATATCACTTTTGTTTCAGAAAAGAAAAAAAATCTAATAAAATACCATAGATTTTATTATACCTGTTGTAAATACTGATTGATAGTAATATGTGCCATCTGTTCTTCTATATAGATTGAGGTCCTGTTGGGAAAATCAAGCAGCAGAAGCAAGTGAATACACTAGAATGTAATAAAAATATAAAATGTACATTCCTGCTAAACTGTCATTCTGAGTTATTTGTTTTTACAGAAATAAAAAAGGTTTACTTAGGATTATTACATACAACCATCAGTTCATAAAGCTGCAAGAGTTTCGTTGGCCATACACAAGTTAATGTTTTTCATTTAAACAGCGGGTTGAATGAAATTT